GCTGTTGTACACTCCTGCTTTCTTCAGGTGGTTGGAATGTCAAACAGCACCCTTTATTTTGCTCGCTGGGGTAGACTGTTCTAGTTCATATCTAATGCCATATCTAATAGATGTCAGTTATCTCCTGTTAATTCACCTCTTCAAGTTCTCCACAACTCTATTGAACTCACAACTCTTTGGGTCCTGTCACAGGATCTAATCAACGCCTTTATTCACTGTGCCATGTGTCCTTAAGGACATCTGTGTATGAATTTCTAGGACTTATAAACTTAATGTCTTCAGTAACCATTTTTACCAGTGCTCATATTGCAATTTTTGCTGTTTTCCTTGCATGTTTTTTTTTTTTTTTTTACGAGAGCTCATATTGCAATTTTCATGGTTATTATTGCTTTTCTGTGGCACACGTTATTACTGGTTTTCATATTGTATTCATTTCTATGCTTGGTCAGCTCAGGAGATTTTTGTGGCCTAGTATATGCGCTGATTCCTTAAGTTTACGAATTTTCCAATGATGTTCTTTTTTTATGATTTCAACCTGATCCCACAGAGGGCAGTGATTTCCCTTTTCTCTTCATATGTGATCAGCCATGCCTGATTTTTCCGCTTCCCCTCATGTTACAACTTTTTGGTGTTCTTGAATCCGTAACCTTAAGGGGGCAGCCTGTCTCCCCTTTTTTCATATTTCTTTCCTCAGTTGCACAGGATGGCGTACACAGTCTCTAGTCATGTTCTCCTCTATTGGGGGGGGGTCTTACTCGGGAGAAGTATCTGCGAAGTGTTGTCCAGATTTTGAAGGTTGTCCTGATGTTATATGGACCACAGATTCTTTGTATTTTTCCAATAACCTCTTCACATAAGGCAGGCAGACTGTTTTCTGAGTGTTGTTGTCTTCCTCTTGTATCTGCCTATCTCAGTTTATTAGGGCTGCTGCCATGTACCCAGGGTAGTTGTTATGTTGTAGGGTACTGCTTATACTGACCAATTCTTTATCTAATATCTCTGGGTCACCAAAAAATTGCAATATGAGCACTGGTAAAAAATGGTTGCTGAAAACATTTATGTTTATAAGTCCCAAAAATTCATACAAAGCTGTCCTTAAGGACACGTGGCACAGTGGATAAAGGTGTTGGTTAGATCCAGTGACAGGACCCAAAGAGTTGTGAGTTACCTGATTAAGGCAGTGTAGAACTTGGAGAGGTGAATTAAGAGGATACCTGACATCCATCCCATTGGCACGTGGAACTAGAAGAGCAATTCAGTTTGACACTCAAACCACCTGAAGAAGGCTGGAGCGTACAATGGCCAAAATGTTGTGATAAATATGGCAACAAGTCCGAATAATGTAAATACACATGCACAAACAACATAATAAACGTATGCATACATATATGTACATAAATAGTAGGATTAGCAGATAATATAAGTAATAACATACTAAACTTACAGTAACATTGCCTTATCATCAAAAAAATTACTACCCCTATAGTAAGTTAAATTTTGAGCTATGTTTACAGTGAGTTCATTCCTTTGATTTAAGAGATGGATCTTGTCTTTAAATCTTGTATTTATGATTACTATTGTTGAAAGATTGCACATGTCCATGCCAATGTTCTTTGAATGTATTCATAGTACTTCCAATGTAAATTTTTTTAATATTAGGTTTTTCTAGTGTAGAAATTGTACTAAGATAAACTAGAGAACTAGTTAATTATTCTGTAATGGGCAATTATTGGGATTCCTACAATTGCAAAGGTTATTAGTGTCATTACACTTACTTTTACTTGTTGCAACCTGGTGAGTAGTCAAGTTTTTTGAGTCCCTATACTTGTTGAAGACTTTGTTATTATGTTTCTTAATTATTTTTTCCAGGTTATCAGCACAACTGTAGCTTAATTTAAGGGTATTATGATTGAATATTTTACTGAGTGGATTAGTTTCAGGGTTGGGGAAATGTTTTTTGATAAGGTTTAGAAATTTATGTCCTAGTTTGGTTTTAACCACTAGGTTGAAAGGTGGAGTAAACCAAATGATCTTCCTGGATCTTCTTTTCTTATTGTGGTCATAAGTAACAGGATTTCTATATTCAATAGTGTAACCACTATTTCTAAGGGTAGAATTATAAAATTCATTATGTTTATTAAAAACCTCTTTGCTAGAAGAGTTAGTACTTATCCTAAATTCCATGGAGGATGGTATGTGCTAAATAACAGAAGGGGGGGAAACTAGGATGTACATATGCCGGGTAAGAATTAACCTTTATATAAGGTTGAAAAGACCTATTATTAAGGTCTAAGGTGACATCCAGAAAGTCTACTGGTTTAATGTTGGCCGTAACTATAGTCTTAAGACCTAAATCCTTAAACTCCCTATGGATCATTTTCCTAATACAATCTACCTTAATTTTAGTAGAGTCTTTAACTATTAATAAGCCATCATCTCTATATAATCCTATACTATCAGAATCTAGGTATTCAAAGGCACTTAAATTGTATAAAAGAAATAATCCCACCAAGTCAGAGGCTTCAGTAGAATATAAAGAACCTATTGAGATGTCCAAATTATCACTGGATGTCTTTTTGGTCGACTGTTCTTCATTGCAAACCAGAACAGAATTTCGGCATTTCAAGATTATATCCATTTCATTGTCAGAAATATTAGAGTATTCCTGAGCAAACTCCAAGGCCAAAGTGAACAGATCTTTAGATATGGAGGGATAATAGTCAATAATGTCGAACTGCATGAAAGTGCAGTTGTCCTTATTTTTGATACCAGTAAACCAGTTGATAACATCCGCGGTATTAACCCACTGTAAGAGTCCAAGGATGCTTTTAATTAATTGGTTGATTTTCTCTAAAATGGTTTTGCTGATTCTACCGATCTCCGGTCTGGTAGGATTAATAAGACGTATTGATGGGTTAGTTCTGAAATCAGGTTTATGACCTTTTAATAAAATATACGCTTCTTTAGCTTGCAACTTACTGACATGATCACTTATACATAGTTTGTCAGTAATGGATTTGCTGAAACAGTTAATTTTATCTATCAAGTTAAAAGTAGTTGTGTAAATTTATCTTGTAGCTTTTGGTCAAACTATTTTTTTAACTAAAGTGTCATAATCCTTAGGGGATAATTTATAAAAGCTGTTTTATCGGATTTAACATATATATCACTGGATTTATTTATATCCTTGACAATATCAAGATTTTTTTGAAAAGAGTTTTTATACTTATTTGTTCTACTCTGTATTGAGCACTCTTTTAAGAATAGTATTTTTGGTTATTGGAATTTATTCTATATACACCAATCCTATACTTGTGTGTGTATATATATATATATATATATATACATACACACACACTTTCTGTTTATACGTTTTTTATAGATACAAATATTTAAGTAAATGCTCTGTTTTTATAATAAACAGTATTAACGACATTTACTGGCCTGAATGTCAGAGAACTTTCATAGAAAATATGTGTCCTCCGACAGGAATTGAACCTGTATCCTACACAGAACTGTCACATAGCCTGACATGCTATACCATTTAGCTAGGAAGCGCCTAGGTAGCAAAATCAAATTACAGTTCAAACAGTAAATTGACTTGGTCCCTGTGAATGTATTTGTATCCAATTGATGCTGGAACAAAATACTTTTGGATATTTGAACCATAAAACCTGTCTTCCACAATGTGTCACTTGCAATGACTTACCATATTGAGCATTCTTGATAGTTTGTACAGTATGGCCTTCAGCCAAACAGAAATGGCAGAAGATGACATTAGTAGTACTTCCTGTAAGTATCCAATAAAGTATTACCATAATTTTTGACCACTGACAATCCATTTTCTCTAGATTTTCAATGCATTTGCTTCATACATAACTATATTTTGTTAATAACACTTGTCCTAATTCCTAACCATTGATAATCCTTTTCTCTGATTTTCTGTACACAGCATACATACTGACAAATTTTAGGTTAGAAATTGTAAAGTTTGGTGTTTAATAAACTTTTTTTTTTTCTATTGCTAAAAATATTTATTTTCTTATTGGAGAAAATGATTAAAGCAAAGTGGTGGAGTAGAGGTAAAGTCAGTGGGTAGTAATGAAAAAATTATCCTACTGAAGCCTTGTCTATATATCAGTGTTGTTTTCAACTTCATGGCTGTTCATTTCCAAGCATCTCCATCAGCTCAGGCCCACTTGTGTTTCTTCAACAACCACAGAGCCAACCTGTGGTTTATAATACAACTCTGCTGAGCAGACATTAGTTTCAGTTCATATATGTGCTCCATCAAGGTCACATACAGAGTTGTTTTTCTTTTAGACTGGTTACCAACCATGGTTAAAGAGTTCAGTCTTCCCTGCAATTTAACTATAGCTATATATAATGGGTTGAAATATTATTATTACGCTATTTTTCTTTCTCTACCACCAGAATTTGTCATTGTGTCAATATTTATGTAACTGTTTAAGCAAATAAAAGTTTAGGCAGCATTTGGCTAATAAATCCTACCTGTTATTGAGACAACTAGTTTAGATAATATTAATAGTAATACTAATAATTGGACCTTGCCAGAAAATTAAAGAAATCATAAGACATGACTGTTGTACCAATGACTATTGGAGCACTGGGAACAAACCAAAAAAGCCTAGTGGAGGAATTGAAAGATCATAAGAGACTATCCAAACTGAAGAAGAGAATGTTGGAGTATTGAGACTTGCTGTCACTTGATCTCTAGTGAAAGCTGTCATTTACTGTGAATACTCGATGAGTGCAGAAATACAAAGGTGTTTTTTTTATTTTTTTGATAGAAGCCCAAATGTTTTCTCTGTTGCATTAACCATAAAATTTTCTGTCTTAACCCTTTGTTCTCTTGTTCAAATCTTGATAATAAATGAAAGTCATTTTATGTCTTTTTTTCTTTTTTTTTTAGATTTCATCAAAGTTGTAAATCTGTAGTGAAAAGAAGCCAGAAGACAAATGCCGTTTCCCAAAATGTGTCAGAGATTAAAATCTAAGTGACTTAATTCTTCTATGATCAAATGCAGCAACTGGTTCTGCTCTGACGACAACACCGGCCATAATTCCACTTGCAACGACCGCAGTGAATCAAGATCTCTTGACTGACAAGCCATCTGTAAGAAAAGAAACAAATCTAAGGAAAATGAAATAACTAGAATGGTGAAGAAAAGAAAAACAAAATGGTTTCTTCAAAAGGAAAGATTTTAACAGTTTAAACCCTCCACCCCATCAAAAAAAAAAAAAATGTCGAAAGAATGATTTTTCTTTTGACACCACACTTATGGTATCCTCTCTTAGCAATTTTTATTGTTTTAAAAAAAGGCTATTTTTAGAATTTTAATAAAAACCTAAACATATGAAACAGGATTTTTTTTTTTCTCATCTCTCAATCTATTGCATATACTCATGTATAATCCTACTTCATATATAGTGCAAAACATTTTGGGAAAGAAATTTTTAGTGAAAAATCTGATTTTCTCATGCCTTGTGTATAATGCAACCCTAGCTTCTGAGCTTACTTGTAAGCCTACCATAGTCAAATATTGCAGTAATGAGAATCATTTACCATATATTGCAGTGCATCTTTTCAAAATATTTTAAGGATACATAAAGGAGGGATTATAAGATAAAAGAAAGAAAACAAATGTACATATGCAAGTTGGTAGGTGCTGAATATACTTGTGTATAAGCCGACTTCATGTATTCCCACCACAGAATTTTTTTTGTGAAAAATCTGATTATTTTTTTCTCATATAGCTCATGCATAATGTGCCCCCAGCTTCTAAGCAATACTAGTAGGCCTACTGTAGTCAAATATTACAGTACTGGACATCATCCTACACATATTTTATAGCCAAAAAATGGTTGCCATTTTTTTTTTTTTACAAAGCTACCTCAAAATGGTGAGTAAAACTATTTACAGTAAAATATCTGATATGAAGATTTAGACACTGTAGGGTTATGATCACTGAAAATGCATGATTTTTAACCGCTTCAAAAAAAAAAAAAAAAAAAAAAAAAGTTTATAGTGCAACCCCTATTTTTCTTTGTGTAAAAACTGATTATAAAAACTTACACTATACTCAAGTATATATGGTACTTTAATGAATTGGTGATAAGAACAAATGAAATACTGTGAAAAATGCATTCTTTCAAAATTTATAATTGGTTACTCGTTGTTATGTATTTGTTTAAATTTTCTTCTACATTTTTTATAAATTTATGAATAAAAAAAATTGTTTTCAGTTATTTCTTAAAATAATTATGAAAACATTTTTTTAAAATATTAAATATTTTTACATTTTTGCATTGTAGTTGGCTTCCATATTTTTATATTCTTGTAAATCGACAATCCAGGAAATAGTGCTTAATATTTTGTCAATTCTTGAGAAAAAAGAAAATGCGGTTGCATATATTTAAAATCTTATTAAAATTCTAAAAATACCATTTTTTAAAACAATAAAAATTATTGAGGGAGGATAGTGTAATAATGGTGTCAAGAGAAAAAAAACGTCCTTTTGACAATTTCATTTTTTTTCTGGTACATTTGTTAAACTTTGCCAGGGAGTCTTTGTAGAGAGAAAAATCAAATGTCGAATAATTTTTACAAATTTGAGAAAATTAAAAGTAATTCCTTCAGCAATTTTCATTTTACAAAATCTTTGAAACATAAAACAGGAACCAAACAGTCAGACTTTTAACTGGTCATTGTAATTGTACTCTTGGTAAGTGAGGACACTATGTTTTTTTTTTTTTTTTTTTTCAGGACATGTTAGTTTGCTTGTTTTATATCTGATGAGAACAACAGTTTGAATAAATCGGTGTATAATAATAATACATCATATTGAAAATTCACATAGTGTGTCTGCTGTTGTTTTTGTATCTTCATTAAATCAACATTAATGCTTTCTTTATACATTCTTTATTATTATTATTGTCGTCAACTTAGAAATGCATTAAAATTTTTCTTGCCATTAAATATATGAAATTTTAAAAGTTTTTCTTGGGATAAAATTCCTATTTTATTTAATTGGGCCTTTTAGAATTCTGTTCTTTCTATTCTCCTAATCTGTAAGTCGGTTATTGATATAACAAAGACCTCAAGAATTGACTTTGCCTGTCTTGACAATCAAGAGAAGCAAAGAAAACAAGATGAAAGAGATGACAAGAAATTAAAAAGGAAATAAAATTCCTTTAAAACTAAATTATAAAGTAAAATTTATTTGGTTTTGGGATAGGTAAATATTGGTTGTTTATATTTGAGCCAGTAGCATTTATTATGGTTGGAGATGACCAGCAGATTGACTGAATCAGGCTTATCTGATCACACAAGTAATGGCCAAAGTGGAGTTTTGTAGTTCATATGTCCACTTAGTTTCCAGGAACATGGACTACTCAGAAACCACGTTTCTGTTCTCAAGCATCAGAAATTGCCACTCAAGCAACTTTTTGGTGGCCGTTTTTAGAGGCAGCTCTATCTTCTGTTGGGTATGCATTTAGAATATTCTAGGCCTTAGACAATTTTTCAGTGCATATGCAGACCCCACACATTAAGATAATAATATGAGAAATTGGTAACTTACCACCACAGACTGTAACAACAAGAAGATATCTTCATCAAGAAAATTCACTGAAAGAGAAAATGAAATATTTACAAATGTGCTTTTCACTGCAATCTAAATATTTTAGCAGCCATTACTGTTTTGATACACCAATATTCTAAGGAAAAGGCATGTTTATTTAATAAAAACACAACTACTAAATAACAGACTTGAATCTTTTGTATTTAACTTTACATTTTATTACATCCCAATACTATATTGGTTACTCTTGGCCAGTGTGTGGAGCATGACTCCTCAGAGGCCTTGTCTGAAATGTGGACCTTACATTCTTGATGTTTGAGAGACTGCCCAACTCCTCTCTGCGATGGTTGTTTATATAACTGAATTTATTACAGATCTTTCCTACACTGACAAAACTTGATACAGTTGAGAGTTTACATGCTTCTTGGTTAGGTGGAAAATTGAGTGCAAAGCCCACTGTGAAATAATAATAAATTTATTACTGTTTCATCAAACTTTTGTATATAGTTTGTTTCATGACATATTGACTCATTTGTTACAGCTTTATGATACAATGACTCCTAAAACATTCAATAAATCTATTTTTGAAATCCTAAATGCTTTCCAAAGATTAAAATTAATCATCGCAACCCTTACCATACTCACTGCCTCAGAACTTGCATTGCATCACATGGCACGTTAGGTAGGTATTGTCTCATTCATGGACACATGAGGTAGGGTCCACCTAGGACAGCAAGTGTTTATTTTTTTTTTTGGTGATGGTGCTGGTGGCAGGAGGAGCATTTAGGTGGATTAGTATAATGAAGTATTATTACATTTTAGAGGTGGTGGTGCATTTGTGTTGCCGCTTTGATGCATATGTATGCTTATTCCATCGTTTTTTTTTTTTTTTTTAATACTATTGTTCAACCAATACAAGGCCCAGAGGTCACCCAAGGTAGAGGATTACCAAATGTGGTTGTTGTAGAGAAGTAAGAAATGCAGATTATGGGTATCCGGCTCCTTTATCACAAATGCTGATGTCCTCCAAGGCTCTATCTTGGGCCATACACTGTTCCTGATCTTCATCAATGACCTTCTCGATGTCATCAGTTTCCAAGTTGACATCTACGTGGATGACACCACTATTTACTCCTGCTTCAACAGTAAATCTAGTATCATTGACAAAACTAAACTGGCTGCTGAACTTGAAAAGGACCTCCAATCTGTGGTTGACTGGGGCAGGAAATGGCCTGTAGATTTTAATGCCTCCAAAATGAAACTTGACAAAATCCAGAGACGAATATGCAAGATGATAGGCCCTGATCTGGCATCTAGTCTACAATTGCTATCCCACAGACGTGCTGTGGCTTCACTCTATCTCTTCTACAAATAACAGCAACTGTTCTGACAAGCTACTTTTGCTGGTTCCCAGACTACATGAATTTAAATGTGCTACCTGGCTGGCATCTTGGTCACACCTTTTCACTGTCAAAACAGTTAAATGTAACTGTCTCTTCTTCTCAAACAGCTTCTTCTCCTGCACTTCCCATCTGTGGAACTCCCTTCCCCATTACTTGCTTCCCGAATGACTATAATCTTCAAATATTCAAGTGTAATGTCAATCGACATCTGACACCCTGAGCTTGTCCCCCTTCTCTGTATCCTTTCCTGAAACACGCCTCTTTACTCTTGTTCTCAATCCTCTGTAACCCCCTGCGTGCTAGTGGCACTCCCACCTTGCTTGGGGTGAATTGCCTTAAAAAAAAATGTAGGATAGATAACAGTTGAGCCTAGACTTGAAGAGGTTAAGATCCCAGTGATTGTAGAACCATTCTCTTGGGAGTTTTTTCCACAAAGTAGTGGCTCTCAAAAAGGAGCTGTATGAATGGACCTTACTCTTTACCAATGCGAAGGAAATAAGACTGATTCAAACCTGTATATATGACATGGAGGGTCTGAGGTGTAAAGGTCCGTGTTAGAATTTTTCGGTACTTTGGTGAGCTAGCCAAAATGAGCTGACTCATTTTATAGTTCACCAATAGAAGGGTTAACCAATCAGAAGGCTCAAAATATTCAATGCAACGTGTATAAAGGTAGCCATGTTTTTTTTCCGAATATGCATTGCCAGCCTTTGATATTGAAGACTGAAGAATTATGGAACTGCTGCTGGTGAGTGTTAATCATTGTTTCATTGAACAGATTATGTACTGTATTCTATATTCATAGACTATGGTTAACAGTCTGAACTGGCAAAACTAAAGAACGTAGCTTGTCTGGATATTTACCATGAAAATGAAAATGTAGTAATAAGAGGCTAGCAATGTTTTGTCTGTGGAAAAAAGTTATACTAAAGGCAAAATAAACAACTATGGCAATATACTAAATTCAGTTTCTGCCTTGTGGCACTGAACAAAGGACAGGCTTATTTTGTTACACTTGTAATGATGAGATGTAACTAAGTTCTATGCTAAGTTTCTTTTCTCACACTTCTCAATTGTGGAACTCTCATCTGGCTTCTGGCTTTATAGTCGTTTGATCTTCAAAAATTTAAATGCAATGTCAATCGTTATCTTCTGTCTTCTTAATTTCTGTCCTTTTCTTGCTCCTTTATAATTCTTTTCTTTATATTTTCACACTCACTAACCCTCTGCATTTTAGTGGTTTTGTTGCCTTGCTCAGGGTGAAATGATTAAAATAAAAATATTCTAGTTATCAGTGACCATTTTAAGTTTAGTGAAGGTGACCGACATATTCAGTGATTTACCCATGGAATATCTCACCTGTAAACTTCAAGGTCAAGTAGAGTTTAGAGTTTTATCTCTTAGATCTTTTTTTTTTTTAAATTTTTTTTTTTTCTATATTGTTTTGGCTGGTCAGTTGTCCAGCTTTTATCAGTTTAAATATTATGTCCAGGTTAATTTGAAATTGCGACATTTAAATAAAAACATGATATGCTAATCTCCAGTTTTGTTATAACCTGTGCTGTTCTGTGAGATTAAATGGATACAACAGGAATGTAATTTGAGGGACAAAATTTGGAATGAGAAACTAACCAACATAAGAATCTTCATTTGCTTCCCATGCATATTTCTCCAATGTCTGTGCATGTTCAGGTCGGATTCGCTGGGGAGTTGGCTGCAAAATAAAGAAGAAAATATTTACTGTATTTGATGATTTATAAGCATATTTGACTTTTTTTAACACCTCCAAAATACATTAGTTAGGCCTCTGATCAGAAGATTGGAGATTTTGAGGAGTGTGGAACCACTTCTTAATTGCTGTTGTTCCCAGGTCCACCCTGACCTGAGGTGGTAGCCCCTGTTAGGGTCCCAGCTATGGGTAAATATAGTAAAATGACCAACAATACATTTTTAAAACAAAATGGCTAGCAATACATCGTATAGTAGAATTATCAACAATATATTTTATAGAAAAATGACCAACAAAACATTTTATCTGTAATTGAAGGAATACAATTGTGAACAAAATATATTTAGTTGAAGCCATAAAATTGTGTTCAAAATATTTATATTTCGGTATTAAATAATCCATAGAGGTATTGATATGCCACTAAACAAAATCAACCAAAATTTGGTTTAAGAAATGTCCTAAATTTTGTATGCAAAGTTGAGATGTCTGGTAGGCTAATGCTTATTCAAATATCCAAGTCTCTTGAACCTTGTCTTTCCATAAGACTAATATTAAATGTAAATAGTTGAGGTTTGTATCTAAAGTTGAGGGATGTGGTAGGCGCATGTTTACTCAGATATCATTAACAACCATTAAGTGTACCTAACTCCATAATACTGCAATATTAGATATAAATATTGGAGATTTATATGCAAAGTCGACATTTCTTGTTGGCTAAATTTTACCCATGTGCTATATAGACTTCCAATATGTTTATCTAACCAAATATGATAATACTGTAATATTACATAAGAATAGGAAATGTTGAAGTATCTGGTAGGTAAATGTTTACCCAGATCTCCAAGTCTTTGTATCAAGCCCAACTGTAGGCGCTGTCATTTAAAAAAAACAAAAAAAAAAAAAAACAAAAAAAACTCAATAACATGCAAACATATTTACTACAGGAGGTTTTTTTTTTTTATTTAAAAGTATTACAAAAACTAAAGAAATATTTAAATTTTTGGGGTTGATTTTTTTTCTATGGCTTATCAACCCATTGCTTATGAATGTTTCTCTTAATAATAATTTAGAAATAATTCAGTAGATGATGTTATTTTTATAGTAACTGGATTTTTGGTGATTGCCTTAATTGGTTTCTGCTTTTGGTATTTTTATTGTGGCCCCCTTTTTTCTGGGTCCTTTAGCGAGGATCAAAGTATCTGTCCTCGGGCAGATAAACTACATTTCAAGAGATACTCAGTCTTAGGAAAAGGCAGCCTGTGGCAGTACCTCTCTTACTGCACTAAAGAGTCAGTGGGGATTGGTAGTAATTCAATGCAACTAAATGTTATGGGGGCTGCGCTATTTTTGGACCTGGTGCAGGTGCACACGCTCGGGCTCCCCACATTAATGTGACCTTCTGTCACATCCTGTCATTGTTAGTGCAGCAAGTAAATACAATCACTTCTCAGCCTTTTGGCTAAGATCAAAGTGTAGTATCTGTTCTTATCAGCTTAATCTGATTCTAATTCTCTCTCTCTCTCTCTCTCTCTCTACTTCTTTCTTTCTTTCATTTTCTCACTGAAACCAAATAGTGTCTTTTCCCCTCTTCCCACACAATCAAAATGGAATGGTCCATTATTTATGAGCTATTGGCAGGGTGTAATGGTTATGCAAACTAAAGAAGAGAGGGACAAACACAATTATAGTCAGTTATATGCCATGTGTTATACATGCTTAGGCAATCACGTATCTTTCAGTACATGACTGATGAGGCAGATTTTTTTTTTTCCCTGCAGTTTCCCTGCCATTTCTTTCTGTGGTAAACCAGTTGCCATCCAAGGCTATAGAACTCATTCTGTTCTGCTATTTACCCATAGCTGGGGGGAGAAAACATCATACAATTATAATAGGATTATTATTAATATAAACGTCAGAAGATTATTCAAATGTTTCTCTCATGGTCAGCTCTATGGGGTTGTGTCCAGAGTAGGAAGTTCAAATAGACTTAATATAATGACAATGATGAGGCATGGTGCAGTAATGGACAGCAGCTCGGATTGAGGAATTGGAGAGCTGAGTTCAAATTCCAGTCGAATCCATTACATTCACTTACGTGCTAATACCCTTAGAAAAGGGTATTAATCATCCCCACTCCAAGCTATGGGTAAATACCAGGTTCTCATAGCCTTGGATGGCAACTGGTTTACTGCAGAAAGAAATGGCAACCTACTGTGGAAAAAGAAATGCCTTGTCAGTCATGTATCAAAAGATACATGATTGCCTAAGCATGACACTGACTGAATAATGACAAAAAGAAATTTAGAAAATACACATTTTGTTGAAAATGTTTATACAAAAATTTGGAGAGATAAGAGAACTTTTATGACTCTGTTCTTCGAAACTCAGCTTGTATTATAAAATAGATCCTACAGGTTATTCAGTGGAAGATTCATTCTTATCACAGATCCATGCAACCTCAGATTTTGCTTTTTCATATTTAGTCACAACCTTTCACATTTTCCTTTTATGGCTTCTCATTGGCATATCTGAATTGTCAGTATCATTACTTTAGTGATAAGTAAAGCTTATGAAGTGTTTTTTGGGGGTGGGGATTTGACTGCAGGTAATTGAAACTGATAAGCTGGGTGAGTCACACACACACACACACATTCACCCATTTCGATGACATGCATGGCCTCACATATATTGTTTGTGGAAGATTGGGTGATATGCCAAGCAAATACAAAAATGTAATTAAATACAGACAATTCATATCACATTCATATAAAAGTGTACAAATCAGCTGGTAGGCTAAAAAGACGTGTAAACATCCCAAGAAATAAGCCTAATTACAACAGAATGTATGTCGCATGTCTGCCAACTTTGTGCCAGAGGTTTTAAAAAGTTTGTCTGATTTAAAGATCCATATCTGTTCAAGGCACAACTGAGTCATACAATATCTATTGAGGTGGTGGACCTCTCTCTCTCTCTCTATATATATATATATATATATATATATATATATATATATTTATTGTGGTGTCCTCCCTCTAATGAGTCTATTGTGGACTCTTCCACTTACTATAAAATTAGTAGGAAAGTAAGCCTCGGAGAACAGTAGTACAGATCAAATGCTGGTCAACCGACACACACTCCCAAGTCGTGTAATACTCTTCTGTTGTATTTACTCTTCAATACACAATTTATCTGCAACATCTTGTTTTGTTATTTCTTAACCATTTACTTGGTTTACAATATATATATATATATATATATATATATATATATATATACATACATACACAGAGTTTAAAATTTGTTATATTTATGGGGAAGTTCACTCAATAAAGCATTTATAGATATAGACAATATAAAGGGTGTTCCAATAACTTGGACCGATTTTAAATGTGAATTAAGTTTAAGTGTCCAAAGGTTTTTTTTCTTTTTGACTTGGCGGACATTGGGGCGATATTTTTTTTCACATATAATTGCCATGACTTAAATAACATGATCCAATAGAGAAATAAATAAATTTTCACCAGTAACATTGATTTATTTACTGCTGACTTTGATCTGCCTTAATGAAACACCTTTTAGATATGCATGTTGATTGCCGGTTTCATACCTCAAGTGAACTTCAGCCCAAGGAGTTGTTAGATTTCTCATTTTTTAACAACAAAAAATCTGATAATTCCTTAACAGTGACACAAAAATATTATATTATATAAATTGTAAAAAAAAAAAAAAAAGAACTGCAAATACAAGAAGCATAAAAGACAAAAAACCCAATATCAATAAAATGTTATCAAATTTAGGAACACACTAAATATATTTCTTAAAGAAAATAAAATGGAAACCTGAACTGATACATGAAAACACAATACGTTAAAAAAAAAAAAAAAAGAAGACATTGTGCATGAATTATTTACAATCTTTACATGTGGACTATTGTCCTCATCTTTGTTGTTATTATTTTGGTTGTTGTGCCCTCCAGTCATTATCAGGTACAAGTTGATCCAGGTAATCTACAGAGAATTTTGAACTGAACAGGAGTAGATTATGGATTAAAGCATTACTTTGTGAATTTGGGGACAGTGATTTTGGGCTCAGTTCCTGGGCTGGGCAGTGTGTACAGTGGAAACAGGTGAGCAATACTAAAAATAAGTAAAAACAATCTAACCCCAGAGACTAAATAAAGGGTTTCAGTTTTAAATTCCCTGTAGGTTACCCGGATCAGCATACACCTGATGAAGGACGGAGGGTATGACAGGTGAAACTATGATAACAACAATAACAAAGATGAAGACAATAGTTTGCATGTAAATAATGTTAACTCCTATTCCAAGAAATTCAGACAGAATTTATGATGAATGAAGAAAAGATATTTGTAAAAAAAAAAAAAAAAAAGAAAAAAAACAATGAAACACATTACACAAATAAAATATGTTTGATAATAGTTATGAAAGCTAGGTAAATGGCTTAAAATATATAAAAAAAAAAAATTTCTTTTGTTAGTTTTTAAAATTATTATACATACATATATATATATATATATATATATATATATATAATAAAGTACAAGAAGACAGAATGCATGGTCATCAGCAAAAAGATGGGTCTGAAATGCGATTTACAGGTCAGGGAAACTAAAATCAAGCAGGTGCGGAAATTCAAATTCTAGGAAGTGTTCTGACAGAGGACGGTAAGTGCGACGCTGAGCTCCAAAGAAGTATTGGGATGGCCAAAGACGCATTCCAAAATTAAGGCAGAGTATTATGAAGCAGGAGGATCTTGTAGGTAACAAAGTAAAGAGTAGTGAACTGCTACGTGATATCTGTCCTCCTTTACAGCAACAAATGTTGGACAGTCTCCTCAAAGATGAAAAGGAGACTCGAGTTAAACGAGGTATAGTTCTACAGAAGAATGCTGAGGATACCAGGAACTGAACATGTGAGCAACGATGAGGTTTTGGAGAGGATGCAAACAAGGAGGAAACTTATACTTAACATCAGGAAAAGGCAGCTGAAATTTCTGAGCCACATAATGAGAAAGGAGGGCTTGGAAAATCTGATACTCACAGGGTGGATAGAGGGAAAGAGGGACAAGGGAAAGCAACGTATGACATGCTTAAGCAAGTGGATGACAGAACAGGTTGGTTGGTTGTTTTGTTTTATGGCATATAAATCTCAGTGGGTCATTTAATGCCAACAAAATTTTGAAATAGATTCATAGCGACAGTTTGGTATGTATACATATATATTTGAACCATTTTTCAATTACTCATATTTTTGATTTGGTTTGGTTTGGTTTATGGCATATCAACCTCAATGAGTTATTTAATGCCGACAACTTTTTTCCTGGTAATATTTTGTTTTGTCAAAAATCTATTTCTGGTAATATTTTCTTCCTCAAAAATGTATAGCTGGTAATAATATTTTAAAAAATGTATTGCTGGTAATATTCTTTTTTTCATGACTGTATTGCTGGTATTATTTTTTTCAAAAATATATTGCTGGTAATCGTTTTTTTACTTCAAAAATTTATTTCTGGTAATAATTTTTTACAAAGTATTTCTGGTAGTATTAAAACTTATTTTTACACTTTTATAATTCTTTTTATCTCAGTTTCGGGGTTAACTATTTGCCCATAGCTGGGACCCTAACAGGTGCTACCACCCCAGGTCAGGGTGGACCTGGGAACACCAGCAATTAAGAGGTTGTTCCACACTCCTCAAAACCTCCTGATCAGAGGCCTTGCCGTTGGACATAGTTTATCACCATACCCTGGACGCGGATATAATTTATCATCATGACAGAACAGGGTCTGGAGAAATAGCAAAAAGAAAAAAACTTGTTGAGAACTACAATGGATAGGAGGAAGTGGAGAGCCATGATTGTCTATGTCCTGAAGGGATATGGTACATAAAAGAAGAAGATATATGATGGACTCTCCCATTGATTTTGATATATGAGGATCTGACAACCACAGTTTTTATGTTTGTGTCGTATGTGACACTGCAGTCCCGCTAGTGACCTGCATACATGTTCACATATTGTGAAACAGTGAGGATTTGGGGACATGGCAACAGGAACATTTGCTGACACTTTTGTAAAAAAAATCAGCATACTGTAATGAAAACATAATTTTATTGTCAAAATATCTGTTATTATTAATAGGAAGATCAAAATATTTTTAGGAATATTTAATTTTTTTACTCCTTTTTAGAAAATTCGAAATTTTGATCAAAAATCTTGTTTTTAATATGTCAGCAGATGTACTATATTTTAGCATAACAAATTTTAGTGATGATAGACACATTAATTTGGAAATTCTTGCAAAAATTAAATAATTGTTGAATTTTAATTAAATTTTCAGGATTTTGGAAATGGTTTTTATTAGAAAATCTTGGTTATAATTTTTTTTTTTTTTTTTACATGTTTCACCCACTTACTTAATTTTATGAAAACTTGAGAAATTCAACGTGATAATTTTTAGTGACTATATCAGTTAAAAGCAAAATTCTTTGGAGAATTTCAATCACAGAATTTTTTGGCAAAATCAGACCCTGTCTTACCAAAAATCTGTTATGAATCAAAAAGTAAACAACACAGTAAAACTAAGACATTATTTAATTAGAAACTTTTAATTAGTTTTATAAAGAATATATATTAAGGAAAATATTGTCTTAAGAAAAAAAATTTTTTCAATGAAAAATAAATTTTTACAAGATTTGTGTTTATTTTTTTTACAATTTTAATTAGAATAATTTATATTATTTTTAAATCTTTTAAAATTCAGTTTCAGTGGTGTAACTCTTAGGAAACATTGTTATTAAGTTATTGTTATATTTACTAATCATATATCATAAACTTTATTATAATCTGACATCCCTGAATATTTTTAAAAGAATTTTGAATTGTTTTTCTAAGTGTAAAACTGTGCCAAAATTTTATAGATATATCAGAAAATAAGTGACACCTATAGTAAATTTAGAGTCAAAATTCTCTAAAATTCAATAAAACATTAAATTATGGAGAATATTTTCTTAAATTTTTAAGATTACCAAGTACTTAAGGTATTTGTGTTATATTCCTCAATTATTTTTTTTAAGGTTAAAGCTCCCATAGAAAAACATTAGATAATCTACCAGACATCAGCTGTCACAGAGGTGTTAAAAACCTGTCAATATAAATAAACAGGCTACCATAGAGTTGAAAAAGCATTCCTGTGATATTTTAAACTTAAGAAAATAATAGTCGTTTCAAATCAGTTTAATTATACTTTAAATTAGCTCATATTCCTCAAATAAAGTTTGAGAAAAGTATATTTTATTTTTGGAAGATTTTTTTTAATAAAGAGATTTACATTTTTATAGCACTTTGCTAAAAACAGGAATGGAATGTTCCGTGGTAGCCGATTCGACACAGGAATTTTTCAGCAGAGAGATGATTAGGCGTCAGATTACTACTTTCTCGTTTTATGCTCGAATGGTCCAATTTAAGACAAAGAGTAGGTGGAGGCATTTTTATATTATATTTCCTTCAGTGCCAATTCATATTTATCAAAGACCTTTTATTCCAAAATGGAACAGAAAGATCGATATTAAAGTGAGATTACATATGAAGGATGGAAAAGTGATTTGCCAGTTGAATGAACACACTCAGGAAGCATCGACTGCAAAAATAGATGTTGAAAAGATAAAAACAACTATTAAAAAAAGAAGTGAAGAAACTCTTGAGCCACCAACCATTGTGGTAAATGAAAGTTTGGTTGGCGTTTCTCAAACTACGTTAGCCTTAGCTCCAGACTTACCTGCAATATGAAAACTTATCACTAGGAATCGAAAATAAAGACAGCGACGTTTAAACAGTCTGATGCCTAAATAGCTGTGCTGAATAGACCAATTATTTTTCTAATGCCAAATCAGTGCTGCCAAATGGGCTGCACCAAAACGTACCAAACCTACTAAAAATGGTATTAAATAAAAAAAAAAAAAAAAACTAATTTCTTGCAATCAATTTAAATTAGTTTTGAAATACAACATAGTATTTTGTTTCTTGAAAATATTAAATTTGATCTATTAGCTTGAAATTAAAACTAATACAAAAAGTTTCAAGAAAGATTTTTTATTATTAAAAATTAATTTTAAATGTTAGGTATCACATTTTCATGGAGGGTCCTAGTTAAAATTCATGCAAAACAATTCAGGGGGGCCGCACTATACATGAAGTTGGCATACACACACACACACGTATGTATATATATGTATATATAATATGGTAAATTTAATAAATACAGAAAAAAATGATTGCAGAAGATTATTTGAAAAACAATTTGTATGCTGTACTATTTTTTTTTTTATTAAACAAAGTAAAAGGGAAACTTTCTTAAGTAAAATTTTTGAGCAACCCACCTGTAATAACATGAGGAGGAGGACTCTGGTTACTTCACATCGAGCTAGAATATCACTATATGCTCCAACAGGCTTACTGCTCAATGCTGTGCCTGTAGAGAAAAAAGAAAAATTACTGAAGACAGGAATATAAATTAATCAAAACTTCTACTGAAGTAGTCAACTTGGTGAATGTAATTTTCACAGAATATTGTGTTGATTGCAAACCCAGAAAGGAAACTGAAAGAACACTGACACAAGGTAGGAAAAGAAAGCATGATGAAAGGACTTTTAACTGCAAGACGGTAGAATGCAGGGTTGTTAGTGAAAGGGACAGCTCGAATCACTGAGATGTTAAATTCAGGAAAGAAACAGGAACTTAATTATCTACATAGTAATATACAATGGAAAATATAATATGTAAATCTGTAGGCGTATAGGAATGGTGACAAATATCTACAAGAAATTAAGCAAAGAATTAAGAGAGAGGAAAATATCATTAGAAAAATGTGTTGAACTGTTACGTAACCTCAAACCTCCTATATATGGCAATGAATACTGGACAATCCCCTCACAGATGAAAAGGTGACATGTAGTAATAGAAATATGCTTCTACAGAAGGATGATGAGAATACCACGTGATCAATGAGGGAGACTTAAAGAGAATAGAAACTACAAGGAAACTTACAATCAGAAAGAGACAGTTGAAGTTTCTGAGAAACATATATGAGAGAGAAAAGTAAAATATATGAGAGAGAGAGAGAAGAAAAATATACGAGAGAGAGAAATAAAATATACGAGAGAGAGAGAGAGAGAGAGAGAGAAAATGATATACAAGAGAGAGAATAATATGAGAGAGAGAGGGAGAGAGAGAAAATATACAAATGAGAGCGAGAGAAAATACATGCATGAGATAGTGAGAGAAGAAAAATATCTGAGATAGAGAAGAATAATATGAGAGAGAGAGAGAGGGAAAAATAATGAGAGAGAGAGAAAAATAATATGAGAGAGAGAGAAAAATAATATGAGAGAGAGAGAGAAATAATATGAGCGAGAGAGAGAGAGAAATAATATGAGCGAGAGAGAGAGAGAAATAATATGAGCGAGAGAGAGAGAGAAAAATAATATGAGAGAGAGAGAGAGAAGAAAAAATGTACCTCCTCTTTCTTGTGCCAAATAACTCATTTCTGTGAGTACAGCCAGAGCCCCATCATAGTCACCTGGAAAAAATAATAACAAAACTGATTTTATTTTATTTTTTAAATATATTTTCTGAGTTGTTATGCAAGAACTAATTTATTAATTTATTTACAGGAGTTTTCTTCTTCCAGAATTAATTGAGACAAAGAGTCACATAAATTCATCTGAATGATAAAGTCTTTATGAAATTATTTTGCACAATATTGTTATGCTGCTGAATTTCTATTTGAGAAGACATGAACTTATAAACCATTGTTGCTAAAAGTTTCCCAACCTTCATATAGTCAACCTGCAGTCTTTGTAGACAATTGGTTCAATAACCTCTTACAGATACTAAAATTTGTGGCTCCTTAAGTCACATATATAGTAGGGTATACTATGTGTTCCAGCCATAGATTAAGTAGTAGAGTAAACTGAACTATTTAGTCTGGAGTGGCAACTAGCCTAAGAAAAGGATAATTCTGATTTCGAAACAGTGGAGAAGGCAATGGGAAACCACACCGGTATCTTTCCCAAATAGTCATCATGATTCACATATAAAGGAAGTGTATATCTTGAAGTAGCGTAACATTTGAAAAGAAAACAGTATTTGTCTACAACTCATTACTTATAAATGGAAATAGTCACTGGACTGAAGGCATGAACACAAAATGTCAGCTAGACTTCTCGCTTGTGGAACTCCTTTCTGGCTCCATACTTTCCAGCCAACTTTAATCTGCAAAAATTTAAATGCAATGTCATTTGCTATCTACTGTCTCCCTGATTACCCTTTCCTCTTCCCGCTCATTATTAATGTTTCTGCCCCTAATTCTTCCACACCCTGTAATGCCTTGTGTCTTAGTGGCTTTACTGCCTTGCATGGGGTGATACAGATTTTTTTTTTAAAAAAAAAAAAAAAAAAAAAAAAAGAAAAAATAAGACATGAACAATTGAGAAATTGATTGATTCATTTTGTACGGCTTACCAACACTTTGCAGGTTATTTAAAGCTAGAAAATATTTTTAGATTGAAAGACTTTTTTTTTGTCATCAATGTTTTAGTGATACAAGTCATCTTGATTAAAATGTTCAACAGCATCTTCATCATTAATGTTGATTCCTTCATTTTGCATATCCAGTCTCATTTTCTTGTTGACACCTTTTTGCTTTTGGTAACAAATTCTAAATTGCAAATCCTTGTTGCCTTTTCTGTTTTGGTGAACTGGGTCCAGAATTTTGCATCAAATTTCCAATCATCATACAGGTGAGGTCAAAAACTTGTTTGTCCTTCTTCTGATGTCATGTTTTGATTGATTGATTTGTTTCTTATAGCATGTCAACATTTTGCAGGTTATTTAAAACCAGAGAATATTTTTACATTCTAAAATTTTTTTGTTTTTGAGATAATAATGGTTTACAAGTCTTACTAATTAACCCATAGCTTAGGGGGAGAGATGTATTTGCGTGTAAGTGAATATAACAAAACCAATGGAAATTAGAACTCAGTTCTCCGATTAATGAATCTGAGCTATTATCTATTACACCACCTGCACATTCAAGCTTACAGCACCAGGTATTCACAAGTGGTCTCCCATCTAGGTACTGACCAGACTCAACACTGCTTAACTTCAGTGTTCCCAAATACCTTTTCCCAAGGGTATATGGGCATTGTTAGATTCACTTACTCACATTTACCCTTGGGAAAAATATGAATCTATCTCTTCTTCCCTTCAGCAGGACAGACTGGGTCCTAGAGCTTAAATGCTGCCTGATAGGGTGGCTTTTAAGCTAGTGTGTGTGTGTGTGTGTGTGTGTGTGTGTATATAAATATATATGCAAGGGAGTGCTGAAAAAAATCCCAGCCTGACCCAATTCCAGAATCTGAAGAGATTTTATTTTGTAATCCTTTCTTGATTGGGCTGAGAACTTTCCAGTACTTTATCATATTATAGCACCTGCTGGTGTTTAGTATAGTAACTTATATACCAACAGACCCTTCTCCATTGGAATCGGATTCTCTGACTTAGTATAGTGGCATCTTGATATGACCCAGATTCTGAGTAATGGTGTCCAGCCAGCATGGTCTTGGCTGGCCATTGGGATGTTTTCACTCAAGGTTCTTCAGGTCTTGGACAAAGATGTTCTTTGTTAGACAATCAGACACTATCCTTATTGGGTGTACAAGAACATTTCAGCTTTTGATAGGTGATCAATACTGAAGTGGGGGATCTTATTCTGGGTGTTTTCATTGCTTACAAACTGAATCATACCCATAATAAATTGAAGGTCTAGAATTTTAAATACAATTATTTCCCTAAAATCTTGTTGCCTTGTTGACTAAATTTTGCCATTGTATAAGGGGAGAGAGGGAACAAGAGAATTGGACATGCACAACTTTGTTCTTACCATTTTTACTTCTACAGGACATCTTTTTTCAGTCCCCCTAAATGCCAGTGAATGCTGGACAATCTCATCATAGATGATGAAGAGATTTAAAGCAACAGAAATGTGGTTCTACAGAATGATGCTGAGAATAACTTGGACTGAACATGTGCGTAATAAGGAAATTTTAAGGAAAATGGAAACAAAAATGCCACTTCTACTTAGAATCAGAAAGAGTTGAAATTTCTAGGGCACTTAATGAAGAAAAAGGACTCAGAGAATTTGACACTCACAGGATATATTGAAGGCAAGTGGAACAGGAAAGCAGTGAATTACCTACCGAATCAGTTAGTTTATTACCTATTGAATCTCACAATTTTGTCTATCATTCTAACCTGAACCTAACACACAGTGAAACAAAAAAAGCTTTTCCACTTTGTCACATTATCTCGACTAATGCACTTCTGTAAATGGCTAGCAGAACATGGACTGGGAGGGATGGTGAAAAGACAAACCTTGCTAAGAGTTACAAAAAACAGGAAGTTGTCATGATTGCCAAATCCTGAAGGGATAAGTTACATAAAAGAAGCTGTTTTTGCAATCCAACAAGATATTTCAATATTAATGGAACCATCCAATTAGAAGAGCCTGGGTAAGAATTTATGTAAATTGTTGAAAGTTTGTGCTATGCCAAACAAAAGACTAATGCAATAAAAAATAGAGCAGATGTAAAAAGGAACTGAAGTACATACGTGTGGCGATCTTGCAGGAAGCAACATGACCCAATGCATCTAAACAGTCAAGAGAATTCTGTAAAGAAGAGTGAATTGCTTTAGTTGCTATTATGACATTTTTATGGTGTGTGCATGTGCAAAATGAATGCATTGTCATCTGTAATAAAATTAGAAACAAAAACAAAAGACAAAGAAGTTATACAATAATCACAGTAATAATGCAATGTGCAAAAAGTGCTCTATTTGATAATATATAACAACTTTCTGTCAGGTTTCAGAAAGAAATATTAAGAAAAACTTGTACTGTAAACGGAATGCTACTGGAATTTTAACTATTCCTTGTTTGACCAAGTTAAAGAGAAAAAAGTTACTTTTTGTGGATTTTTTTTTTTTTTTTTTTTTAAAAAAAAAAAAAAAAAAATACCATACCACTTTGATGTTGAAAAAAAAAAAAAAATACATTAACAATTTAACATACCTTAACTTTTATTACTTGTGTAGTTTTGGGGTGCAATAAGAAACAAAATGGCCAAGAAAGCTTTCATTTTGTCAAAAAAGTGACATATTTTCTTATGTTTACATATGAGAAGACACCAGCATTTGTTTAGTCTTCCTTTCACTTGACTAGCATATTTGTTGCATTGACAAATAAAGTTATTATTTCATCGTTTATAAATAGACGAAATAATTCACCTCCAGAAAGGCTATCAGGTACATTCATTGGGGGCCAGTAGTTTCCATAAAATTAGTCAGCCATGGATGATAGTAGTTACTCAGTATCTAGTGGTTATTATTGCTTTTCTCCCTGTCAGTAGTGTGGTTATCATCTTCAACCACTTCACCATCAATAGCCACTTGAGTAAAGCCTTCCAAATCATCAGAGTCTGAATCAAAGAAAAACTTCTGAATAAAGGCTTCGTTGGATGTTGACGTGGACATTTTTGTTTACAAAAAAGTTAGTCTGAGTTTAATTGTTGTTACACCTCGTGTAAAGTCTAGAAGAATTCAAAATGGTGTCGGAAAATGGAAATTTAGCCTTGTTCCAAACCAGTAGTAGGCGATTTCCAGCTTAAAATAACAGTTGACAAGTTTATAGCAACTGTCTCAAGGTGACAGAATGCGCCGACAGCTGCAAAGGGAGAGAGATGGCAACAATTTTTGCCTCCAGTTTGGTAAAGGTTAAAAAAGATATATGAAAAGACTATAATAACCCAAAGAAATGAATTCTGAAAATGAGTTATACATGATTAGAGCATTTTAACAATATTGCATTAACCAAATTCTTGCTATGATGTGGTATTTTTACTGTTTTGTGATAAGAAACATACAGAAATATTTACATTAATGTATAGAAAGTTATTTTTAAATTAATAAAGGAAACTACTCTATAACCAGGATTTAATATACATAAAGTCATCACCCTTGAAAAATTTGATTATTATAATATAAATAATCAGTGTGAATGTAAATACTGATCCAGCTTTTTAATGGTATCACACTAACAAACATCACACTGTGATGTACCATTTTTGCTGTGTTTTGGTAATAAATCCACAAAAAGGGATCTGATAATTGTAACAGAAATTAAGGGTCAGTATCCACACTCACCTAAAATTATGTACTTTTTCAAGGGAAAATAAATCCAGGGATATTAAATGCTATTTATAGAGCAGCTCATTTGTTTATATGACTTGGCTGAAGCAGAAAGAAATAAAAGGAAGAAAAATAAATGACTAACTTGAGATTGAAGTTCAGCAGCTCTTTGATAATGTCCCATTGCTTCATTTGGTTTGCTTAAAGACTGAAATAATTAACAATATCATTAGATTTCTGAAAGTAGTAAGTTTAGTCATATTTCTGATTTGAGAGAATTAATTGTAATGACGAATGTATTGAGTTGAGTCATAAGGAATTTCTGTTTGAAGGAGTTAATTGTAATGACAAATGTATTGAGCCATAAGGAATTTCTGTTTGGGGGAATTGTAATGACAAATGTATTGAGTCACACATAATTGTAACTAACAGTTCCTTAAATATATAACAACACGTGATTAACCTTTACCATATTAATTTCTTTCTAGAATTGTTTCCACTGATTTTTTTTGAGGATGCAAACACATGAACACCTGTCATAGCTTTCTTTGTACTGTGCGCATACATGTTAATTTTTGTACACTAAAAAAAAAAAATGAATGAATAAATAGTTTGATGTAATGCATTACGTTTTGCATGCATATTTTGACGTTGAAAAAAAAAAAAAAAAAAAAAATTGAAATGCAAAATACAAAACGTGAAATAAAAAAACCAATATATTAAAAAAAATACATAAATAATTCAACATATTTTAACTTTTATTATTCCTTGCAGAGATCTGGGGGTGCAATAAGAAGCAAAATCGCTAAGGCTTTCATTTCATCAAAAAAGTGATGTGTTTACATACGAGAAGACACAAGCATTTGTTTGCTCTTTCTTTCACTTGACTCATATTTATTTTTCTCATTGATGAATAAAGATACTATTTTGTTGTTTATAAATAGACAAAATAATTCACCTTCAGAAAGGCTATCAGTTATATCGATGGTTGCCAGTAGCATCCATAAAATTAGTCAGGCATGGATGATAGTAGCAAAGGGAGAGAATTCTACGGTGACTATTTTTGTCTGCAATGTGCTAAAGGTTAAAAATGCATTACATTACTTATGATAATATTCAATACAGAAAGAATGGACCTCAAACGCTGAGCTCCACATGGGAATTTGCAATGTTGTGCATGTGGTAGCAAATTGATATATTCATCAACTGCAAAGTGTACATAAAAATTCGGTTCAAATGAGTCCTGCGCTCGTCAATAAGAATAATATTCTTCTCCGTGACAAGATGATGTCACATACAGCAAGGATAACACCAGGAAAAAATTATGGAACTGATTTAATCTGTTCTACCCTACATGCCATATTCACCTGAATTTGCACCAACCGATTATTACCTTTTTCAACTGATGCAAAATGCTTTGAAAGGAAAAATGTTCTCTATGAAAACCGGATTCAAGAATTAGTCAAAAATTTTTCACATCAAAACCTTCAGAATTTTGTTAAAAAGATAGTAAAGCAATGTTTGGTGATTGGTAACAAGTGGCTGCAAATAATGGTGAATGTATGATTGAATAAAATGTAATCATACATCATTTTTTTGAAGAATAAAGTTGTTTAACAGAAATGGAAGTGATTTATGACTCAACCCAACATAACAGTCTAACCACAAACATTTTACATTATATGTGTGTGTGTGTGTGTTTGCAAAGCTTGCAGCCATTTCCAACATCTTCAGAATCACTTCTGTGGTATGGATATGACTTGGTAACCATCTAGTGGCAACCTGGCTGCACATATGTGGATTGAAACTCTCCCCTAAGGTTACTCAGTTGACAGAGAGATGCCAAAATGATGCATATACAAGGCTCCAAGGAGAGTGCTTGAAAGTGGACTAACACACCAATGCCCAAGGCAGACTAGACTTTGTTAATATTAGATAGCTGGAGGCTTTTCAGACAGTCATTTCGAAGCACCGATGACTTGGGGGCAGAAACTCTGATTGATACCAAGTCGGTTGGGTTTCAATCCTGGCTTGAATCATTCGATTGCCTAGTTGCACTGATGAGCTATGATACAGCGAAACAGGCCTGTATGCAAATGATATTATATATATATATATATATATATATATATATATTTATTTCCAAGAGGATATAATCCAGGTAGAGTTCAATGTCCAGGACAGAGCAAGAATATAATATAAAAGGCTCAAACACTATTGCTCCATGGTTATAATTTAATACATTGGGATTAATCACGATCCAATTCATCAGACCTACAAATTTAAAAAGCTTTTTGAATTTGTAGGTTTGATGAATTGGATCGTGATTAATTGATCCCAATGTATTAAATTATGACCGTGGAATATTAGTATATATATATATATATATATATATATATATATATATATATATATATATATATGTGTGTGTGTAGGTGGGGTTGCATGTCCAAGTGATTAGAAGGTTTGCTTTCTGATGAGTTCAAATTTCATTATGGTCAGTTTATCAGGAAGGTGACTTCTTGATGTTATCAGTTTGGGGAGGCAATCCCAATATGTGACAACAACACCATGGGTTGATATAAGCCCCATGAGTGAAATTGGGTAGACAGAACTGTTTGGAAACTGATGTTTATGCTAGCTCAAAGTTACAAGTCAATGTAATTAAGAGTTTGAGCATACCATGGTTATTCAAACTGCCAATCATGCCAGATTATGTGCACTCTCCCAGAAATTGTAACTAATGTCTGCTCAGCATAGTTGCAGCATAAACCACATATAGGCTCTGTGGGTGTTGAACATGCACAAATATGCTGGAGCAGATGCCTGCAACAGGGATAGCCACATCCGCAGACAGCCATGCTTGAAAAATGAGTAACCAGCCATTATATATATATATATATATATATATATATATATATATATATATATATATATGCACACACACACACACACTCTCCCTGCGCAAGAATTTTTTTCTCCAGAATCCTATGCTTTGAATATTGCTGTTACATATGAGCTGCTATAAAATCTAAAGAAGAATCTGCAATGTTGTTAGTCTTGACTTGGCATCTCACCATCAGTCTCTCTCTCCCAGTTTCTTGCTTTCCAGTTAATGCTCATCTTCAAAAATGCAATGTCAATTGTTATCTTCTGTCTTAATTTTTGCTCTTTTATTGTTTTCTCTTCTTAATAGTATATTTTCTCATACTCTTTTAACACTCAGTAACCCCTTGCACCTTAGTGGCTTTATTGCCTTACTTGGGGTGAAATGATTGAATATATATATATATATATATATATATATATATATATATATATTTATATATGAGTTATGATATATAAATGTTTATATATCATGAAGTTTTGAAAGAAAAGCTGTGTAACAAATTGGAAAAGGCTTTTGTGACATGTTGCATCCGTTAGGACTTCATTGGACTGTGTTTATGTTGTTGTGACCACACACACATATATATATATATAACTTATGTTATGGAACAGACTTCGAAGAGGATGATTCCCAGACCACAACAATCTTAATATCTTCAAGTCTAGGATCACACAATATCTACCCTACATATCTTCATAATATGAACCTGCTTCCCGCTCACTTAACAATAATATCACTCAGTAACTCTATCTTCAGTGGATATTGGGTGAACAAAAGTAAAAAAAATATTATATATACAGGATGTGATGGTCAAATTGTTGCCATTTTGTATTTTTAATTTTGTACATGCACATTGTTTTCAATTTTGTCAACTGCACAGTATATAGTAGGATCAGTTGAACACCATCTGTGAGAAGAAAAAAGAGCACCATGATGCAATTCATTCTGCCAGAAATTTGAAAATGGCATGCTGTACTGCTTGGTATTCATGCCAGAAGCTCCAATATGAACATTTCAGAGTGTTTGAGTGTCAATCTGAGGACAGTGCAGAAGATTCAGATGGGCTTAATGGTAATTACAAAGGTGTGTGGAGTGATCACTAGTGATGGCGACGATATGCCACCATTCATCTTCCCACAGGGCATCAGACTCGACACAAAGGCCTACATCAAGCGCCTTGAGGAGGTAGTGCTGCCCTGGGTCAAGAGGGTGGCTGCTGGAAGAACTTACGTCTGGCAACAGGACTCTGCACTATACTGCACATGCAGGAGAACTCAGTCTTGGCTGCCAGACAATTTTTGCAACCACATCACCCCTGACATCTGTCCACTTAACTTCCCAGACTGCAACCCCTGTTGATTATTATGCATGGCGTGCAGCTGAGTGAGACCAACAAAACTTGTAACACCAAAGATGTAGTGAAAGATTATGACAGTATTGACCAACTTAAACAAGGAGACTATCCAGAAGAGATGCAGGAGATTCTCAAGTCGTCTGGAAGCTGTGGTTGAAGCCAATAGTGATTTTATTGAATAAATTTACTCTTTATTATTTCAAGACATTTTTGTGTAAATTTGGTAAATATATGTGTCTGTGAGATGTCAGTGTTATTTTCATATTTGTGTAATTTAGATGACAATTTATCCATCGTTCACTGTATATGTTTATGTGTTTTATCCCTTTAAATGTTATTTTAGTCGTTACCCATATCTAAGTAGATGCTAGGAAAAATACTTCCTACTTATGCACACAAAAATAGTAAACACCATTATTTTACTCAGATTTGACATTTAGTCAAGGTTGGCAATTGGCAATTTTTAAATTTATTGTAAAAAATTCAAGCAATCTGTACAGTCACTTTACAATGGCTCCTACTCCAATGGTACACAATCCTCATTCAAATTGTTCTTGAATTCTTGATGACTCGACTCCCACATGTGTATTCACCAACCTCATTTTCTGGTTTCTCTGATTCTTTTAGAGAAGATATCATATTAAATGTTCAATAGTTGTTCTGCCACAACAGAAGTTAGAGTTGTATTTTTTGACAGCTGACCACTAATATTAATATGAAGATCACCAACCCTCTCAGCAAATGCTTATATGATAAGATGAAAATAACTTACCATTAATATATCTCCTAGTTCCATGCATAGAGCAGCCCCCAAAGCGGGTTGTTTGTGTTCAATGTGAACCTATAAAAATAAAAAGTTAAAAGCTTGATAAAGTTGGAATATACGAGGTCTGTCTTAAAAGTGAAAAGTAACGGAATTGGTGTCACAAACAATTTATTTCACTTCCAAACAACAAACTTCCCTTTCAAAGTAATCCCTCTCAAGCCTAATAGACTCTGCCATGCTTCTCTGAACTGCTGGAAGGATTCTTCCTCAATGGCCCTCTTGATGGCCTCCAAAACAGATCCCCTTGATGATCCTCCTGAGCTTTGGTAAAAGAAAAATGTCACATGGAGCAAGATTGAGTGAATAGGGAGGCTGTTCCAGTATGGCAATGTTTTTCTTGGTCAGGAACTGCAGGATGCTCAGGATGTTGTCAGCAGGTGCCCTGTAGTGGTGAAGTAGCCACAATTTGTCCTGCATAACTTTCATCTGTCCTTGCAGATTGAACGAAACAAATGTGGCAAGATCTCTTTGTAGACTTGTTGATTGAGCGTCTGGCATTGAAGAACATAATCAGACAGACCTCATATATACAGCAGCAAAAAGGCAAACAATTTCCTAAGTGTTTCACTTTAAAAGTTTGCTGTTAGGATGGAAAGAAAATCCTGTCATATTTTTGGCATGATCACTTACAGGATACGTTTTCAGGAATTACAGTAAAATAACCATTTTTATGTTCTAATGTTTTTTTTTTTTTCCTTTCTTTGTAGATTACTTGATACAAGAGTGGTTAAATTTTGTATCACCTTTATCCTTTTAAAATGAATTTAGATCAGACTCATATGCTGTATAAATTCAAAAATGGCTTTTCAGTAACAGAAGCAGCAAGAAATATTTGTCCTATGTATGGAAATGGCATTTTAAGTGTCCGGACATGTTAATGATTGTTTGATCAGGAAATTTATTTCTTTGGAGATTCCTCTTGATCTGGAAACCAATGTCTGTCAATATTGATCTTCTACAAAATGTAGTTGAGAAAAATCCAAATCAGAATGCGTGTGTAAGCGTTCTGAAAGCAAAGGAAATGTTTGTCACAGATTAATTTCACAACGCAGAGAACAAATCACTGTAAGTTCAGACTCGAATATCGGGGGCAGAAAGAAATGCTGAAAACTCGATTTGCAGGTACTATCTCACAAATCCCAATGCACATGACCATTCAGAAGAATAACTCACTTGCCGACGAACGCGGTAGCCAAAATACATCAGTCTTCCCCTGATTCAAGAACACCAACTGCTTTTATTGACCAAGCAATTTTTTTCATTCGTCGACAACTGGGAGAGGGCGCCAAGTATTTTGCATAACAAAATACTTTTATAGAGACTCCTGCGACGGACTTGTTTTTAATCTAAATATTCCGTCTTCAGCATGTCATGCAGAATACGTGCCCTTTTTTTGGTAAGTAATTTTCTTTTCCGTCGTAGGATACACGTGATGTGCTGTCGCTTGGTTTGACGAGGTAAGGCGCTGTTTTCTTAGCTATAGCATGAGAATTAACAAGACAGTTAAATAAGTCAAACTTTGTTCCTAAAACAACATCATGAACTTGGAAAAGTGTCAAAAGGAGTCCTTCATCAACTGTTTCTCAGCTTAATCAAAGTTGCTCTCTGTGTCAATGAAGTGTAGAATTGCTTCCCAATTAGAATCATCACTAGTGATGAAAAGTGGGCACTCTTTTATCATAGCCAATGAAAATGATAATGGTTAGCATCCACTAAAAAGGAGAATCTATTGCCAAACTAAATTCAACAATGATAATGTATATTATTTTTAGTGATAATATCAAAATTTGTCTTGTTTTTAGATAGCTTTGCTAATCATCCATTTCAAATAGTAGTAGATAGAGTAACCCGTTGTCCAGTTCAAATAAGAGTAGATAGGTTCAGCCATCATCCAGTTCTAATAGGTCTAGATAGGTTTGGCCATTGTCTGGTTCACACTCCTCTCTTGTCTTTTGAATGGGAGTAGATGTTTACCCCTTGTTTTCTGTTTAGGATTGGGTTTCTTGTTCATTCTAAGGTTTTTTTTTTTTTTCATTGTCTTTCACTCCAAGTAGCCTCTTACATCTCTATGGCATCATTTTATTGCTTGGGGGGAATTGATTAAAAAAAAGAAAGAAATATCTTAATATTTCATGGTTTTATGGATAAAGGCTTACTGGTAAAACATCTCCAACAGGGAACACACAAACAAAATCTAACTGTTCTAAGTATTTCAAGAAAGAAATAAACACAAATACACTCATTTTTATGTAATGAATATTAATGAATTAACAGAAGTATTTTTCTTTTAGATCTTTAGCCTTTTTTCTTTCTGCCTCTTTTACATTACTTAGCTTTCTTTTTACCTGACATCTCTTTCTTTTTTTTATTTCCAAATGTTGTTGCCTCTCTCTCGCTTCTATTTCTCTATACTTCACCGACACTATTTTCCTTTCGTTCACATCTCCCTTCCTACATCTTTTAACCGTTTTTTTTTTTTATGATATCACTTTCTTTCTTTCCTATTTCCAGATGTTGTTGCCGCTCTCTCACCTTGATCCACCTTTTATTTCTCTTGGCTTCACTTATACTTGCATCAATACTTACTCTAATTGCATGACTGTAACAGTTAATTGAGGCTGATAGATGTTCTTCAAAGCTTGGACATTTCAGATCTCGATTTGCCATCTCTGCTTCTAGGAATGCTCGAGCTGCCTCGGTGAGAGCTTGGCCTTCCCCTGCTGCATTGGCCAAGGTGTGCTCGCATCTAAAACAGGGGAATAAACATTAAATACATAAACACAAATGAAAAAAGCTTATTAGAAGAGTGAACTTATATAGGTTCAACAAAAAAAAAAAAATTATATATTTTAGGTGACATATTGAACAAGACACATAAAATTAGGAGACATATTGAACAAGACACATAAAATTAGGAGACATATTGAACAAGACACATAAAATTAGGAGACATATTGAACAAGACACATAAAATTAGGAGACATATTGAACAAGACACATAAAATTAGGAGACATATTCTGTCAGCACTTCCACATTTTTTTAAAAAACAACCAGAAGAAAAAGCTTAACCAGTTTTTTGTAAGACTGATGCAGGATATCATAAGGCCTCAAAGAAATGCACCTCCCACAAAGAAACAGTGTTCTGTGGTCAAGATAACGAAGATCAAAATGTAGTATCTGTTCCAACAGCAGGACCACGGCTCAAGCCATTAGCAACAATTCTAGCTAGCCATCCATCATCATCATATCCAGGTCCTGTTAGCTCCAGCAGGCCTCCCACTCCAGCCATCCTAGCCAGCAACAACAGTATGCAATAAACTGTCCTTTTCAGGACAACATGCTTTACTGAATGCAAAACTCTTTTTCAGGGCAATGCTCTCCTCAGGACAACACTCTTCTCATCCTCTACATAAACATGTAGAGATATTTTTTTACCTAATGTTCTGTAAACCTTATTTTTGTTGATGTATTTTCTTTAACAAAAATAAACTTGGCAATATATTTTTTTATTCAAGTCTTCCATCATTCAATATTTGCTTACGGGCCAATATACCCACTTGCAACACAGGTTCAATCCCTGTTGAGGGTACATTTTTTTTTTTGTAGGATTTCTCAATTTAGATCAGTTCTTAATAATTTTTTTATTTAAAAAAAAAACTGGGATAGCAACTCAAACATGTACCCACTAAAAATAACGTTTATAGTAATACAAAATAATACTGAATAAAAAATCCTTTGAAAAAGAACTATAATTCTGCAATGCATTTTTGATCTAAGTGTCAAAATTTTGCCTTAATGAGAGAACAGATACAATATATTCAACAACTCTGCTTTGGGAAAAATAAATGCTATATATAAAGAGAGAAGGGAAACATTCACAAGAAGATTTGTATGTTATTGCTTTTCAAGCGCTCAACACTTTAACGTGCACTGGGCAGGATACGACAAACTACTGGATGGGTGTTATGCAAAATGAGAGGAAAAGGACATTGTTGCATATTTGAGGCCAAAAATTACAGAAGAAAGTTCATCTTTTGTACAAATTTTCTTCCCTCTTCATTTTGCATTACAGATAGGAATAAGTCGAGATCCCTTAAGTATAACCAAAGCAAATTCAGTTATAAGATCCTTGGCCAAAGACAGAACAGCACAGGATCTTGATGGCCATATTCATTTTATAATTCATTTTGTGGAAAGTGTCCAATTGTTAAATATCAGAAAGAAAAAAAATTAAGATGTAAGAATGTCATCAAAATGCAAAATGAAACAAATATGATCTTTTTTGACAATATCTTATTTACCTTGCTTGAGCTAGACAGCAAAAGCCAGAATATTGAGGACATTCTTGGCGCCGTAAATTTTTTGCCAAAGCCGCTGTAGAAAGAAAATAATTTAAAAAATGAAAGAATACAATATACATTGCATTTAGGCAGGTAAATGAAAAAAAAAAACAAAAACAAAAAAAAAATCTATTATCCATGTAAATTTAGAGGATCAAACAATATATTGTTATTTTACAAATTTTGCATCAATATAGTAGGAAGGACACCACTGACAATCTGGGCAACAAAACTGTAAGTTTAAGAGTAAGTCTTGTTGCCAACACTGTGGTTTGTAACTAGATCACCAGTCAGTAACATACGGTCGATTCCATTATTAAGTAGATCATGTGATCATAAAGGAAGTGAATAAATAGGAAGTAGCGGGATGACTATACAATCACTGTTCACTTTTCTTGTCTATCTGCTAATGCTATATGTTCACTCTCTCTACTACTATATGGATTACGATTCTCTTTTGATCATTATACTATTTGGCTATTACTACTTGAACAAATATTACTAGTGCAGATTTCAAAGGGAAAGTATTACTACTAGTACCAGAATCTACAAAGTCTCGAATATAATCAGCATTTTTTGAAGTGATAACAAGCTTTCGCTTGACTTAGCAAAAGTGACTAGTGAAGCCGTTCAACATCACAAAAAAAAAAAAAAAACATAGCATACCACTTTATATGAAAATTCAATGATGTTTTACAGATCAATTAAAACAAAAATTATTATACATTGACTATTTTTTCAATTGGATGGGTTAATTTAACAACATATCTACATTATATAACAACATTGCTAGGTTAGCTGCTAAGAAAGTCAGTTCACTGTGTTGTGCAAGACAATTTCTCTCTCCGGAATTTATCTTACATATAAGTCTACCACTTGTCCATGCTTAGAATATTGCTGCTACATATGGTCCAGTGCCCTTGCTATTTACCTAGAGCTTCTTGATAAGATCCAAAGAAGAATCAGCAATATTATCAGTCCTGATCTGACAGGTTGGCTTCAGTCACTTACCCACTGCTGTAAGGTTGCATCTGTGTCTTTTCTATAAATACTTTCATGGTAATTTTTCAGATGAGCTCTTCGGTATGGTACCTAGACTTCATGAAATTAAGCGCAGTACTAGACTGGCATCAAGATCTCATCACTTGACAGTTGAGTTAGCTACATGTAGCCGTAACTTCTATGTTAACAGTTTCTTTTCTTGCACTTCTCGCTTGTGGAGCTCCATTCTGGCTCCATGTTTTCCAGCCAATTTTAATCTTCAAAAATTTAAATGCAATGTCAATCTCTATCTACTGTCCTCCTGATTACTCTCTTCTCTTTCTGCTCATCATTATTGTTTCTGTTCCTAATTCTTCTACACCCTGTAACCCCTTGTGTTTTAGTGGCTTTACTGCCTTGCATGGGGTGATACTGATTAAAAAATATATCAACCCTGTTAGTTTATTTAATATTGAATGTAAGTCTTGTAATACGAAAATCAAAATTAATTAGTTATGTGGGTTATCCCACTTGATTTTGCTGAAAAAAAAAAAAAGAAAAAAAAAAAGTAGTTGGTGGGGGGGGGTTTCATTAAGCTGATGAAAATGTGTACATGTATTTTTAAAAATGAAAAAAGCATTCTTGAAGATTTCATTTTAGCTTTAACTGAAAGCTAATTGATTAAACTTGCTATTTCCAGTAATTAAAATATTCTGGTGTATTTCAAATAGAAACTATATAGATCAGAATTTCAACTTTTTGGTCGATTTCAGAAAATCTTCTTACAAGTGACCATTTTCTTAATTTTAAGAAATATGTAAACAAAACAAAATTATTGGTTTTAGAAATCTTCTAAAAATAAATTATATATTTGTGACACATTGTTTGAGTAAAGTTAAATTAATGTGATTTGAAATTAACATTACTTATAGCATAAAAAAGCAATATATAACCATTTTTTAACAATAGGTCGTTTTTCTTAGATCTTCATTGACATATTCCAAGGTGTTGACAGCTAGTATGGATGACCAGAATTGAAATAAATTCATGAAATCTAAGTGAACACATCTTTTTTTGGTTTTTAACTACCTACTAATTTTTACAAATTAACATATTTTCAGCAATTATCTAATACTACTATCACTTAACTGCCACCTTGAAGTAATGCAGAATTTTAAACAATTTTTAATATAAATTATTTAATTAAAATTTTTAAAAAATGAAAAAAATTCTTGTAAAAATGAATTATTCATCGAAAAATTTTCTTAAGACAATAGTGTCCTTAATAAATCTTATTTATAAAAGCAATTGATACTTTTATTGCAGTTTTTATTTTACAATTCAGAGCAGATTTTTAGTGAATGGGGTAACTTTTACAAAAAAGAAATTGATGATTTACATTCCCCAAGGAGTCCTGCTTTTAAGTAATAAAAAAATTCTCCAGCCTAAAAATTTAATTTCGCAAAATTTCATGAAATTAAGGAAGTGGGTGGTAACATGTTAAAAAAAAAATATTTCTTACTAAAATTTTCTAAAAAAAAAAAAAAAAAAAAACAACAAAATTTCAAAAATAATTTCATTCATTTCTGAATATGACCTGAAAGTTCATTAAAATTCGACAATTATTTGATTTTTTCAAGAATTTCCAAATCAATGTGTTTTTCATCAGAAAAATTAATTGTAGCTATTACATCAACTGCTGTCATAAACAAAACAAGATTTTTAACCAAAATTTTGAATGTGCTAGAAATGAGAAAATTTTAAAAAATACTTCAGTCTTTCCTCTAATTTATAATAACAAACATTTTGATGATAAAACTGTTTTTATCAAGTTTGGGTCCTTTTTTCATCATGCTATGCTGATTATCTGTGAAAAAAGTGGAGGTGCCTAAATACCTACACAATTTTCACACACAAAACCACATTCTATATTCCTTTTCATCACATGGGTCTTTGAATATTTTCTTTATTACTGTAATTTCTTTTGTCAATAAATGAAATTAGTTATATGTTTTATAATTATTTGTGCCTACTATTTTTATCTGGACTCACATTAAGTCGGGTAATATTGTTTGTGGGATAAATTTTCCAGGGGTCCATAAATATTTATTCTCCAAAGTGTTGATTCCCACAACATAATAGTGACTAAATATTTACTTAATCATACAAGCTATCCTGCCACAGTTTATTCATGAACCAAAAGGTAAACGTTAGTCAGATTTATTCTTGCATTTGCAAGCATTCACCCTGTAGAGCATGGAGTTGGCATATTCTAAGCTCTGCTGACAGGGCAATAGGTATTGATTGATTTGAAATGCTCTCCTTATATTGTTCTATTTTGGCCATTCTAGTTCAAAAATAAAAAAAAAGAAGCTAGATATATGTCTGGTTTGCACAAGATTCAAAAAGATAGACACAAATCCAGTTTGCCTTAGCATTGAAGTGGAACATACAAGTATGGTTTATACCCAAGTTTGTATGTGTCCAACTGATTGTTTTTTATGGCTTATCAACCTTTTGTGGGTTATTTAAAACTGAAACATATTTAGGATTGTGAAAGATTGCTTACAGTACCTGGTGTTCTCTAGCAGTTCTCCATTTAAGTACTGATCAGGCTCAACTCTTGTGATTGAATGAGGACTGGGTATACACCTGCAAGGTGGCCCCCTTTGCGTGAATTGTATCCATCTACATGGGATGTAGTCTGCATATTCTAAGCCCTGCCAACAGGGCAGATTGGGATATTTAATGTTATATTTTCTCTGATTTTTGCTGTAAAAGCTAGTTTGTTAGTAGGAAAGAGTAAATGGGCCCTTTTAAAGAAAATCTGCTTCTAGCTTTTCTACCAACAACCATTTTCTCTGAATTCCAAAATAGTGAAGAAATGGGAAAGGAAATAACTTACCAAACTGCTCACTTCCCTCGGCAACATTTGGCTTCTTCAGAAAACGTCTGAAATCATGAAATGAAGAAAAAGTAGCTGTACAGAAATGTTTCAATTAAAATAAAAAAAGAAGAAAGTTAGTAAACAAAAGGATTGGTTAAAAGGATTTCTCAATTAATTTGGGGGAAAAAATGTAGCTGTTACACCAAAAAGGACCTGCTGGAACAGGGCAGTCGTCTCATGGCATCGTTGTCCTCGTCGGCTCCCTCGACAAACTGCCATATAGACCATGATGAAGCAGCTGATTGGTCGAGTGGGAGAGATTTACATATGTGTAGGCGCACTCCGCCAATTCTTCCGTCTTCCAACTATGCAATGTATAGGCATTTTTGGGGATGATGTCATGTATCTTGCTCACAACAATCACAAAAAAGGGCTCAATCAAGTACAAAAAAAAAAAAAAAAGAAAAACGGGGGGATAAAAATACAAAATGTTCAATGAAGTAAACAAAAGAACAAATTAAATAAAACAGATAAAAAAAACCTCTGAATCTTCTCCCTTTCTCTCAGATTCATATTGCAAAAAATAAGTTTATTGAATATAAGACATTTATCAAGCATTTGGGTGAAACATAACCTGTGTGTGTGTGTTTGATTGATTTGTTTATTTAACAGCATATCAACTCCTTATTTACATTATTTGGACTATTGCCTCATCTTTGTCGCTATATTTATTATAATGCTCCGGCCTTCTTCAGGTGGTTGGAATGTCAAACTTAACCCTTTATTTTGCTCACTGGGGTAGACAGTTCTAGATCCACGTGCCATGTTTAATGGATATCAGTTATCTCCTGTTAATTTCCCTCTGAAAGTTCTCCACTGCCTTAACCTGGTATTGAACTCACTCTTTGGGTCCTGTTACTGGATCTAACCAACGCCTTTATCCACCATGTCCTTGAGGACAACTGTGTATTAATTTCTGGATATTATAAACCTAATGTCTTCAGCGACCATTTTTTTCAGTGCTCATACTGCAATTTTTTGCTGTTATCATTTCATGTTTTTACCAGAGCTCATATTGCAACTTTTGTTGTTATTATCACTTTTCTCTGGCACTCCTTATTACTGGTTCCCTATATTGTATTCATTTCTATGCTTGGTCGGCTCAGGAGATTTTTGTGGCCTAGCATATGTGCTGATTCCTTAAGTTTACGAATTTTCCAATGGTGTTCCTTGTCTATGATTTCAACCAGATTCCACAGAGGGCAGTGATCTCCCTTCTCTCTCCATACCCTAGTGAGCAAAATAAAGGAGTAAGTTCAACATTCCAACCACCTGAAGAAGGCTGGAGCATACAACGGCTGAAACGTTGTAATAAATATGGCGACAAAGATGAGGACAATAGTCCGAATAATGTAAATAATGTACATAATACCTCATCTCAGAAATATAGACAGATATCAACTCCTTATTGATCATTTATTGCCAAAATTTAATTTTCTTGAGAGGTTTGAAGTAATAAAAATATGATATATGTTATTCTGCTTTCACAATTGAATACATGGTAGATGATACTCAGCTTTTGTACATAGACATATTTGTTGGTTGGTTGATTTTGTTTAGCAGCATATCACCCTTGATGGGTTATTTAATGCCAAAATCTAAATATTTGGTACATAATTTTATACTTTCAGGGTAAAAGGTATTTTTTTTTAGATATATAATTTGTAGTAATTTCACTACAAAAATGTAATTTTTTTATAACAAATGTATTTTTATGCTTTTTTAATCTTGTATTGATTGTCATTTTGCTATAAAAATGTACTCTTGATTTTTGCTTGGGGGTTCACTCTCTGCCCATAGCTGGGACCCTAACTGGTGCTACCACACTGAGTCAGGATGGACGTGGGATCAACAGCAGTTAAAAGGTGGTTCCACACTTCTCAAAACCTCCAATCGCCTGATCAGAGGCCTTGCTGCTAGATGAAGCTTATTGTCACAACCAGGACAAGAAAGAGTGTGTGTGTACATATATCTAATTAAATAAGAAAAACTTTATAAATTATAAATGTTTCACTATTTACCTTCATGAGAAACTTATGAAAAATGGGATAGAAAAGATTTGTTTTGATTTTTTTTAATTGTTTTTATTGGTTAGGTAGATGTCATATATCAGTCCTCCTATATGGTAGTGAATGCTGGACAATCTCCTCACAGATGAAGAGACTTGAAGCAACTGAAATGTGCTTTCAAATTTCAGTTGCTTCAAGGAGGCTGAACAACAAAGTTTTAGAAAAAATGGAAACAAAAAGGACACTTATACTTAACATCAGAAAGAGAAAATTGAAATTCCTAGGGCACATAATGAGGGAAGACGGCTTGGAAAATCTGATACTCACAGGACAGATTCAGGGCAAGAGGGACAGAGGAAAACAGCGCATAATCTAGTTAGTGATCTTGAGTAAATGGATGGTGGAACAGGGTTTAGGAGAAATAACAAAAAATCAGGAAAGTTTAGATAGCCATGATTGTCTATGCCCTGAAAGGACTCAGTACATAGAAGATATTACATGTTATTTTTTATGGCATTAGTATGTCAAGATTTAATCAGGGCTTCAATTCATATATATGTGTGCATGCATGTGTGGGTATATATATATATATATATATATATATATATATATATATATAAATATATATATATATAAAAAAAAGGCTCTAATGTATGTATATGCCTGTGTCTAATGTGTGTGTGTATATATATATATATATATATATATATATATATATATATATATATATATATATATATATTTTCCTGCGATTCTTTAGACTGATTCATTGGTTATACAAATCTTGCCAGTCCCTTCTTCCTTTTCTGTTAAAGTTCTCTGAAAATCAATTGAGCATGAAACTCAAGTTATGACTAGAGCCATCCTTTCATAGGATTTAACATTGGTAAGTGTTTTTTGCTTGGTCTAGGCAATCTGGGCATTGGGTGCTTTATTGGGTAAGTAAATTTGCTTTTAGCCCTTTCTATTTTTTTTTTTGGTATTGTTGGGTTTTTTAGAGGCAGTATCTGGATAAGAGTTTTAGGTTTTGACATGTTGTCTTTTGGTTCTGTCAACAGTTTTTGTATTTCTTATATATATATATTATATATATATATATATATATATATATATATATATATATATTCTAGTTTCAGTGGATGTATTTAAAATCCAACCAAATGACTCTAATATAGATAAAACAAACAGGTGGACAGATATTCTTCTTGAGTGTGGACATTGGAGGTGATAAGGTAATGTTATTTAATTTATGGTTCCCACTTATTCTCAGAGATTTCAATGCATTGTTTCCTCAGATAAAGATTTGTCTTTCTTTCATTGTAACTTGAGGAAGCCAAATAATTTATAAGTTAAGACAGAGAAGGGGAGATAAATATATAACATTTTTGAAATCTGCTTTGATATGCTTTGGGAATGAACTGGACTAGCATCATCAGGAAAAGTATTTTATTTCACAAGAACAAAATCTACATTAACAAGCCAAAATATGATTCATCTTAAGCAGCTGAACAATTGATTTTGTTCTTGTGAAATAAAATTCTTTTGTTGATACTGGCTCATTAGCAAAACATATCAACATAGGGGTTTTCCAAATTCTTTTCATGAGTTTGCTCCTTTATGAAAAGGGTCTTTTTTTTCAAGTCTTACTATTTAACCTATAGCTGCAGAAGAGAGAGAGAGATTCACAATCAAAGTGTATTTGTGTGTAAGTGAATTTAATGAACCAGACTGGAATTTGTTGTCACCATCTTTACTCAAATCTGAACTAAATTCTTATCTGCATTCCACTAAGAAAGAAATATGGAAATTGTAAAACTTACTTTTTCAGCTTGTTTGTCACTAATCGATATTTACTGAGGATATCGGCATCTTTCTCCATTTTTCTTGCGAACTTCCTTTCCTTTCAAACTGAACAAATTGCAACACTGGAAAATGATACAAAAATCAATAACAGATAATAAGAACAGATTTTTTTTTAAAAGTTTGCTTAAATTTCATTGTTTTATTAATACAAACTATGTGTTGTGATTGTACCATTCAATGGAAATGTGTGCACAGTTAATGATCATTAGTACACAATATAATGAGTCAGTATGCCTATAAGGCTTTAAACTATCTATTTGTGCTCAATTATTACATGATATTTTGTATTTACATGGAATGATTTATTGACAGCCTTATGTTTGGGAAATTTAAATAAGGGGGACACAACTGAAAATTTATTGAATTTTTAGGTACTTTGGCTTTACAGTCTTATTGAAGAAATGTTAGAAAATAAATAAATTTAAAAATTTACTATAGTTGTTGTTGTTATTTTCTGATAATAATTTATATGGACAACTGCATTTACAAAATCTGGCACATTTATACGCACACACACAAAATTCTTAATTTTTTTTAAAAATACTAGAAGTTTTTTTTAAATACTGGAATTGTAGTTAGCTTTTCCATTTATGATTAGTAAATATAGATTTTACTTAATAACAATACCATCGAACTGCATCAAATTAATACAGAATTTTAAAAGATGTAAAACTTTATAAATTATTATAATTAAAAAAAAAAAAAAAACAATTCTTGTAAATTTTTTTAAAGACAATAGTGTCCATAATATATCTTATACATAAAAGCACTGTTTGACCAAAAAATGTTACTTAAATTCCCCAAGGACTTGTCCTTATAATTAATGTAAATATTTAAGTGCTACAAATATCAATTTCTCAAAATTTCATAAAATTAATAAATAAGTAGGGGTGGGTAACAGATGTGATAAAGAAAAAAAATACTAAGATTTTCTAAAAAAAGAAACCTATTTGTAGTAAAATAATTCATTTGTGAATAGATCCTGAAAGTTTAATTAAAATTCGACAATCCGATTTTTGCAAGGATGTTCAAATCAATGTTTTTCACCGCAAAAAGACGCTAAAATTTCCTATAATAATTTGTTAAATTTTTTTTTACCCGTTGACAAAAGAAAAGCAAAGTTTTTAACCAAAATTTCGAAGGTTAAGGATTAAAAAATATAATAATTATAAAAAAAATCCTTTGTTTTTTTTTTTTTTTTTTCATCTTAGTCTAATAATAAAAACAAAGTTATAGGTATGGTCAATAAATCGCCGGAAAAATGAGCATAGCAGGATGATTAAAGGCCTTAAACTTGACGAAAATAATTTTTATTTGTCTAACTGTTTATGTTATAATAAAGAGGAAAGATCAAAGTATTTTTTGATTATTTTTAAAAATTTTTTTATCATTTTGGGCACGTCCAAAATTGTTTAAAAATCATGTTTTTTTTTTTCTGAAAAATCGATAGTCAGCCGATTTTTTTCAATTTTATAAACAAAAGTTAATTTTTCCGTTTAAAATTCTGCCAAAAAAACAGTTACACATTTTTAAAAATTTAAATGTTTATTTAATATATTTTGAAAGAAAAAATTACTTACTTTATGCGCTGAAAAGTGTACTTTAAAAAAAGAGACAGCGGGTCTTAACAGCAGCGACACATGACGAGGTGCCGATAGAAAAAGATACAACTTCGTTTTTAAAGTTTGGGGCATTTTTTCAGCGTGTGCCTCATTTTTTTAGCGAATTTTAGGAGTCGGTGTACCTAGTATTCTCTTCCCTCCCCAGTTTAGAGATGGCGAGATACCCACACCGCCTCTGATCACTTGCAGGAATGTGTCGACCACTAAAAACGCACGATGACTGTTCGAAAGTTATGTGCGCTGCACAATCTGCTGTAAGCGGAGACTATGTCTTTACTTTTTGGGGCCCATATGTGATACACAATAAACACTACATGCGACACACACAACTCTATATTCTCAACTCCACACACTTGTCACCAACAGGTCTTTAAAAAAAAAAACAATGATCATTTACAAGGAAGAAAAATTTTAAATTTAAGGCATTTTTATTTAATGATCGAACTGAAGAAAACTAAAAAACTTATGCTTTATTGCTCGACAATGCTAATCGTAAATAAATTTTCTGACCAGTGAACTTCTGTGAACAGTGAACACCATTCACGTTCTATTTTTTTTTTTTTTTGCATAATTTTTTGAATAACTTAAGATTTGTAAAGTGTAAATTATTTCTTACAACACCGGATATTTTTTAAAATCATTTTTAGAGTGCAGAAATTGAGCGTTTTTGTTTTGTGTTTGATGAGTCTAAAAAAAACCAAAAAAAAAACCCCAAAAACAAAGTCAATTGGAGACGATGGAAAAAGTCTTTTAGTTTTTAAGTAGAAAATGTCTCGTAGATTTTATCAACACGAGAAACTAACTCCACATTTAGACTCAAGATGTGAACAATAACGTACGTGTCTTTATCGTGACTGTTAGTGTTTAATTTTAGTAAGTTTTATAATCAAGTCCATTTAGTCACTAGTGAAGAAAGTACGTAACTGTTCGAGTCTTTTATTATAACTTAGAAAAACGATTGTTTAAAAACATAAGGAAAGCTTAAGTGGAAAAACGATGTGAAAATAAGAGAGAATTTCTGAATGTTATCAAGTAACTGAAAATCGACAGAAAATAACCATTACCTGATATTAAGAATGAAATACAAAAAATATCAACTGTTGTTCCTTACCCGGAAGTTAAGGAATGAATCGTTTAACTCTCCACACATTGGTGCGAAAATAAGAAACTAGAGTTACTTCCCCTAGTTTAATATTTACACGATTAATGTCGTGAAAACAATTAATTATTCTCTGTCCACTTAATTATATGATATATGAAGGAATTTTCTAAGTTATTCAGACTGATAACCAATCATAGTTATTTATCAGATAATAGTTTAATGAAAGAAATATATTGATGTAAAATAATTCTGCAGTTGTTTGTTAAATAAGCAAAAACAAGTCAAGTTGGTGGTTCGTAAATAGTGGAATAATTGACATTCATAATAGAATTTTTTATTTTATTTTAAAGTGTTGTACTCAATACATTGTATTGTAATAAAAGGTGTGTATTATTTTTACTTTTAGTCTTTTGATTGAAGTAATTTTAATTCTATTTCAGCGATTTTGTTTTGAGTTAAAAAGTAAGTGAGATGATAAAGAAACTTTCTCTGCAAGAGAAGATTGTTCAAATGACAAAAAAAAAATCAACATACGCAAGTTTTTGCAGATGAGACGGATGAAAAAAAACCCGAATCAATGTGTAAAAGTGTTTTATTATTACAGCGTTAAAAAGGTGCAATCTTAAATGATTGAAAAAAAAAATCCTATGAATGTTACGAGAAATTGAGTTTTGTTTTGAACATTCATTTCTTTTTGGATTTTTACGAACATTCGTCTATAAAGAATATTTGTCTAAAAGGACATTTAGAATACTCGTTTCAGGACGATTGGTTTATTTATTATTTAATAAATTAACACGTTATTCATGTACAAAATACTCAATTTTATTGACATTGACTACAGTACACTACAGAATTAAAAGGCACTTAGCAACATGAATTCCTTACAGTGTAACCCGGATATAAGAGAGTTGTCAGGACCGGAGAAGAAGTCTCTTATATCCGGGTTTGGTCTATTTTATATACATTAACACAGGCTCTAATTTGGGATCAGAGAAAACCTCTCTTATATCCGGGTTACACTGTACATGTGGTTCATAAGCATTGTGCATTGTATGATAACCCATATTCGTTTTTTGAACCATAATTCTTTAATTTAGAATTAAAAACGAACTTTCTGGATCCATTTCTTTTCGTGTTGTAAAAGAAACCCCAAATCAATTTGTTTAAATTTTTGAAGTTTTATTTTGTTTACTTTTTTATTTTATTTTTCTGGGAAAATCTTGGCAAGGCTACCGTTTTTTTTTATCGCTTAGGAAAGCAGTCAGCAATATGCATTTTGTAAACTAAGAATTATCCCCTGTTTATGCAAAAAAAGGAAAAAAAAAAAAAAAAAAAAGAAATGAAACCATAATAATTGAATTTAATTTTCTAAACAAGAACGACGACAAAAAAAAAATATAAATAAATAAATAAATAAAATAACGTTACTGCTTTTTATGTTTTTAGAATTTAGCTTTTGCTGTGCGTGCCCGTTTAAAAAAAACGGTAGTCGAGAACTAATTTCAGTAATTGAAAATAATGTTTTTAAATAAAAACAATCAATCTTAATTTGAATTAAAATAAATTTGTTTACAAAATTGAAAAAAAAAATGTCTGACGATCGATATTTTTGTGTCGATTTTCCTGACTAAAAAAAACATGATTTTTAACGAAAATTTTGGACGTGCTAGGAATGATTAAAAAAATAATAAAAAAAATACTTTGATTTTTCCTCTTGCTTGATAATATAACAAACGTTTAGACAATAAAAAATTATTTTCGTCAAGTTTAAGGACGTTTTTTTTTAACATGCTATGCTCATTTTCTAAGCAATCTCATGCTGATACTCACAATAATAATAAAGTCGGTTTTCTTCTTGCAATATAACAGTTAAAATTAAAATGTCATTTAAAAAATGGCAAGTTGTTTAATTTATCATATCTCATAGAAAGTTTAAGAATTTAATTAAAATTCACTTCAGTTTTAACAATAACCTGCACAATAACCTAAATAAAATAAACCTCGTGGCCAATCTTTCAATATTATTTTCAGTTGAAAGTGCCATACGTGATACATGCTTCTTGGGCGAACATATTGTTATCTTTTGATACATGACTGACGAGGTAGACTTTTTTCCTGCAGTAGGTTGCCATTTCTTTCTGGGGTAGACTGGTTGCCAATCAAGGCTAAAGAACCCAATCTATTCCGTTATTCAACCCATAACTGGGTGTGTGTGTGGGGGGGGGGAAGAGATGGATTCATCGACCATTCCCATCAAAGATCAAAATAAACGAAAATACTGCACCTTAAAACCTGTAATTTTCTTACTACCGAGTCAGCCTCGGTCTATGAATGAAAAATCGCGCAATGTTTTTGTGTCGTTTACTCACAGGAGTTAATAGATTTGCATATTTTGTGCGCTACTGTTGGGTAGAATTTGTTTTTCTTGGCAACGGACATTGAACAATAACGCTTCATGTAACTTTCCTTTTCGATGCTGTGCCATTGAGTAATCGGTCACGTGAACACCGATGCTTGGGAGAGTTTGCAAAAGCTAAAGGTAACTTCCGTTTCTTCAGTTCGCACAAGACGACTTTAAGATGGGACCCCAGAAAAAACCTCAGAAATCTAAAAACAGAGAGACTAAGCTATTTATTAGCTTTGATGAGAATTCAAGACGGTAATATAATGTTTGAATTGCTTCTGTAAATACTTACCACATTCATTTGCGTGCATTATCCACTGTTAAATTGTTATTTAAGCTAATGACCACGTGTATGTTGAACAACAACTGTTATAAATTTCTAAGCCTCAAACGGGAGACAGCTATCTTTGCTATAGGTTTATCATTGTAATGTAAAGTATTTTTATGAACCAACATCCCTTAAGTTTCAGGTCTGACACACAAAAAAGAATGAATACCGATATCTTGTTTATCTCTAAGCAGAACACTCTTACGTATGATAAAAAATAAAAATCCCTTGCTACTGCCACCGACTTCCTAAAAATACCACAAAAACTCATTTTAAATAATTTAAATACTTTGAACTTAAATTTCTGTTTTTGAAAATCAAAGCTAATCGGAATTAAAAGAAAAATTAATTTCCGTATAAATATACTGACAGTTCTAGGTATTTTTTTTATTCATTGACTCACGCTCACGTCAGATCGTTATTATCGATGAAAATTGTAAACAACTTTAAAAAATATCTTAAAAATCCAAGTTTTGTCATAAATGTTGAGGTCAGTTAGTAAATTTAAAGATGAATTAACTGGATTTTGTAAACGTAATGCTTTTTGTTTAAAATAGGAAAATAACTTTTTTTTTTTTTTATGCACAGTAGCCTGTGTGTGTGTGAGGTCAGAGATTATCAACTAAAAATATTTCTTTCATCCCCTCTTTTAAAAAGCGCGAAATAAAATGTAAAAATAAACCCCCAGAAGAGAATTCAAGCAATGCAATAATCAAGAAATTAGTATTTATATTTAAAAATAAATTATCTTTAATGTTATTGTTATATAACTGGATACTTACCCGCAAAAAAAAAAAAAAAATTGCATTTTAAAAATGAAAAATTCTTCTTGAAGCTTTTATATTTTAGTTTTAATTGTAACCTAATAGATTAAATTTAATATTTACAATAAGCAAAATACTGTTGTATTTCAAATTGAATTTACATTGATTAGAATTAATTTTTTTCTAATCATCAGTAAAAATTGATAAAATTGTCCGTATTGACAAATCTGTGAACACAACTTATGAAGTTTTTATGAAGGGTTGACATCTATTGAAAACTTGATGTTTGCTAAATTTATGTAAGGGGAAAAACAATTTTTTGTGATATCAATAAACAATACATTCATTGCCACTTTTGTAATGTCAGTGAATACTCATTGTCAATTTCTGTAATGCCCATTGTAGTAGAGACTTTGTAATCACAGATACAATAATAGTAATGCCATTGAACAATACTAGTGTCAGATACCTTCGAAAAACACTTGCACTAATAGTACTTGCTCAATTTGAAAAGTAACCACTGAATAGTGATCCGTATAGTGATCACTTAGACACCATGCTAATTCCCATATATACATTTACTTTACCATCATTTGATCTACTTATTCAAAATGGTATTGCCTGTGTTTGCTCTCTGGTGATCTGTGTTCTAAATCCAGTGTCGGCAGTGACACTTTATTCCTATATAACACCTCCCCTATACTTCTTCAGCTTTGGTTCAATAGTTAGAAATTCTGTTGGCATTCTTTTTCTTTTGCCATAAACCTTTGGTTCAACAATTTCTGATGGCATTGGTATGTTAAACGAGTCATACAGAATTACCATTGGTACCTTTTTTCGGGAACTTTTTGTAAGTCAGTGAATCTACATTTTAACTGATTAAGATATCGCTTATGTTCTCACCTTTGTTCCTGTACCATGTATGTCATTTTGCCGATCCGTTTTATTTTTTGTTTTTTTATAATGCCATCTTCCCAGAATTCCTTTCTGTGCTAATACATCTTAAAAAATACCTTATCTCCAGGTTTGAAATATCTTGTATTGTTATTTCTTGCATTCTGGTTAATAAAATATTGAAAACTGACTTAATCTTGCTGGTGAATATCAACTCTGTAGGTGACATTCCGGACATAATGTTAAGGTTTGGAGCTATTCTGTAAACACTCAGAAATTGCTAAATTATTACTTCATCTGACTCCTCTCCCTCTGACTCTTTAGTGCCCTTTTAAACATATCGTCCGTTTGATCCTTTGTTATAAGGGGGAGTTGTAATATGTTCTACTGCTAATGATTTGCAAAAAAACTAAAATTCACTCGATGTGAATTGAGTCTTGTTATTTGAAACGATAGTCAGGAACACCGAACCTTGCAAAAATCTTGCGTAGGAAATTTATCATAACTGTGGTAGTCAGTCTTCTACATTTTAATGTTTTTGGCCATTTAGTGTAACTATCGTCTACCACTAGATAGTATGCTCCATTTAATGGTCCTGTGGAGTCTATATGTATTCTGGACCATGACATATCGGTTTTCAGCCAAGGTTGTATTTTGGTGACTTCGCCACCAGAGCACAACCTCTGCATGGTTTCACTAAATTTTCGAAATCCTTATCCATTTTTTGGCCACATCATTAAGGATTTCATTCTAGAAATTCCTGGATGTCCTCTGTGAAATTCTTTTAACATATGTCTTTGCAATGATGCTGGTGTCACCACTCTTTGCATACATAAGTACATCATTACATAATGAAAATGCATTATTTCCAATAATATTTCTTCATTTTCATTATAAAGTTGTCTTTTTCCACCTTAATTTTTATTTCCTCCAATGTTATGGACAGTTCTCTTACTCTGTTGTAAGATACATTATTGATTTCATTTTCGTCCCTTATCGCCGCAATTACTTTGTCTTCAAGTGGTTCCCAGAATCTTGGTATTAGTCTAGACAATCTGTCTGCATGACTTAATTTTTTGGATGGTAGAAATTTCATTTTATAATTATAATTCGATAGAATAGTTCCCCAGTGCTGCAGTCTATTTGCTGTATGTGTGGAAACACTCTTTTTTGATCCATGTATGGACAATGATGGTCTGTCTGTAGTATGAATTCTCTACCATGTATGAATTTGTGAAACTTTTTCATGGCAAATATAACGGCCAATACTTCCTTTTCTATCTGACTGTACTTTCTTTCAGCTGCAATTAATGATCTTGAAGTATGAGCTATTGGTTTAGTTGTTCCGTCCTTATATTTGTGTAGTATCACTGCTCTAATACCTGAAACACTTGCATCTGCTGCGACCACAATCTTTAATTTAGGGTCAAAATGAGCTTGTGACAAATCTGAAGACTTCCTTGATCTCTTCGAAAGCACTTTGACATTTATCTGTCTAATTCCATTTCACATCTTTCTTCAGGTTTTTCAAGAGTGCTCTTAATTTGTGCATATATAGTATATATATATATATGACAGTAGTTAGCAAACACTAAAAATGCTTGTAATTTTATTACATTTGTGCTCGCCCCTTGAAGGATCCAGTCATCTACCATTTTCATCAATAATTTGTCCTAGATATTTAAGTCTGGTCATAAACAATTCATATTTCCCTTCACTAATCTTAAAACCATACTCTTTGCTTCTCTCAAATACTTTCTTTACATCTGCATATTGCTTCCGAGTCTTAATAAGCACATCATCCAAATAGGCTTGAGCACAATCCAAACTGGCAAGTATGGTATCCATTATGTGTTAGAATATGCTTGGTGCTACCTTTATACTAAAAAGAAGTCAGTTGAATTTGTATAATCCTCTGAGTTTTAATTGTTAATAATTTTGAGTAGTCTTTATCCACTAGTACTTGTAGGTAAGCGTCTGACAGGTCCAATACATTTACCTCCATTCAATTTGGCAAAAATTTCCCCTGGAATTGGTAATGGGTATTTATATTGTTTTAAACTTTCATTTAACCTCGTTGAAAAATCAACACATATGCGGATTTTATTATTCCTTTTTTTAACGTAGACTGTTGGTGATGCCCATTTGGAATAGTCTATTTTTGATATCACACCTATTTTTTGTAGTTTGCTCAATTCATTATTAATTGGATCTAATGCTGCAAAAGGTACACTCCTTTTTGGCTTGAATGTTGGTGTTACATTGTCTTTTAAATCAAACTTAACTTTTGCTTTCGTGCATGTTCTTAGATCTTCTGGAAAACTCTTTTCCAGTTCATCTTTCAATTTTTCATTTGCTGTATTAGTACTGGGAGTAACAATATTTATCTTGTTGCAAAAAGAGTTAATTGGAAGGTCCCAAAGATCAAACAATGCAATCCAGTCTATTCCAAACAAATTAGCAGTATTTTTTAACACAAACATCACTGCTTTTTTGGTTTTTCCCATAAAAGAAACATTACGGCTGAATTCACCCAAAAAGTTCAATCTATTTCCTGAGACTCTGTGCGCAACATTTTTTGAAGGAATTCTCATGTCAGTTCAATTAATCCTTGTCGCCACTTTTGTGATGTCAACGAACACTCGTTGTCACTTTTGTAATGCTCATTTTAGTAGAGACTTTGTACTCACAGAGACAATAACAGTAACATCACTGAACAATACTGATGTCAGACACCTTTGAAAAACACTTGCACTAACAGTACTTGCTCGATAATACTTCCTCGAAAAGTAACTACCGACTAGTGATGCGAATAGTAATCCATATAGTGATCACTTAGATGCCACGCTAATTCCTATATGTATGTATTTTTTTTTTCTTTACCATCACATGATCTACTTATTCAAAATGAGATCACCCATATTTGCTCTCTGGTGATCTGTGTTCAACCTCCAGTGTTGACAGCGACACTTTATTTCCTATAAAACAAGTGTAGCAAAATTATGTGACTAATGTAAGTGCCTTTTTTTTTTCTTTTTCAGACAATCTTGTTTTATTGCATTGTTTATTTTACTATTCAGTGCAAATTTTCTGTAAATGGCAGTCCTGTTTGGCAAAAAAGCTTTGATGATTTAAATTCTTCTAGGACTTGTCCTTATAGTTAATATAAACATTGAGTGCTACAAAAAAAGAATTTCTTGAAATTTCATAAAATAATACAAGTTTGTGGTCACAAATATAAAAAAAAAAGATTTACCAAGATTTCCTAA